GCTAGAGAAATTTTAGTTGCCGATTCTGACATTCCAAGAAAAACAAAACAAGAAATAAGGAATAAAAAAGTGAATGTTTAAAATTGGTCTGGCTTTTTCCGGTTTCAATTTATGTGAAACTGAACAATTCTTGCAGAAAACATTGAGAATTCCTCCTTTAAATTTCAGAACGATTTCCCAAACCTCAAAAATTACATTTATTTAGAATGCAAACAATGCTTCAACAGGTTTTCAGGTTTTCTTTCTTCAGTTCTCATCTATAAACTTAAATATATGCAATACGAACAATATGTTCCGAACAAACGATGACTGCTGAACGAGGTTTCATTCAACCTAAAATACCCTGCTGGTACGGACACAAGAGATTACGAATAATTTATCTGAAATTCATGATTTACGAGAATGAGTCATTTCAAATTAGATTCATTCCTCTTAAAATTAATGTGCAGTGTCGTGGAAGATTTAAAAAATTTTATTCTTATTTTGGGAGAGATTTACTGATGTAGGGGAGATTTGCTTCATGTAGACATTAATACAGCACTGGAATGTGACGTGGACGAAACCAAAAACTTTGGTACGAAAGTACGAATCGTTCAGATTGTCTATATGTTCCCCAGATTTCTGCAAATGCAATGCAACTATTTCGGTATACTCTCTCGAAGATCGAAATATACTGAAATCTATTCAAGGAACTGTCGCACTGATTTGAAGTATAATCAAAAGAATGTCTGAGGAAGAGAAGAAAGCAATGATAATATTTGGGAAAGTGAAATATTTATTGGGCAAATTTCACACTCATTAAGAGGCAGAAAATTTAGTTTGAAATACTGAAAGATATAGAAATAACCTGGAAACTTACCTGAAAGTAGCTTAGCTTATTCATGTACATAAATATAAATGAATCAATTATTTCACTTCATTTTTGTTACAATTTCACGTACTTAGCTAATTGCTAGTTCTGTAATGAGTGATTAGAACAATTAGCAATCGATCATCCCTTCCGACATGATACTTTTAGAGTTCTATCAATTTCTTAATTAACTTAATTATAGTATGTTTATATAAGAGATTGTTTAAGTATCTCATAGGAGAGAAAGAATGGATTTACACTCAGAAAGTGATGTGAGTTACTTCTGCAAATTCTAGACTCATTTGTTGGGTAAATCTGTCCCAGACAAAGTAACCAACTGTGGTTACTGGACACATCTCCATGACAACTGCTCTTAAATTTTCTACATCTCCTTGCTGTCGCTAGTTAGCCTTTCCTCATGCTTTAATCATCATGGTGCATCAGATTATCTCGATCTGTGAATGTTATCAGTAATATTCCCATTCTTCCAGCAGAAAATGATCAATTTTCTATTTCAGATATTAGTTGTAAATATTCAATTTATAATTTCAAATAGTTTAATGAAAGGACGAAAAGAGTCGAGAAATGTGTTAGCTTCTTATGGACGAGGTTTTTTTTTTCCTTATTATATTTATGCGTATTAATTTATTATAAAGTGAAAAATGAGAGAAGATATCTATCTGATTACTACACTCAAATATTGATTTCCGTATCAGCAACTGCTTCTTGTTGATATTTATGTCAAATATTCTTCTATCACTGTGTGCAATAAGTGCAAAAAAATTCACAATTGTTTTCAAATGCTCAATGTTTTGCGTGTAGTATACAAATGCAAACTTTCTAGCAATTGCAATGTAGCATATTTAGTAATTGTATGTGTCCTTAGACGACAGTGTTAATTCAAGTGAATAGTTATTTTTTTTTTTAATTTGAGAACAGTCAAGATTTCAAAACTGGAACTGAAACTAAGTTCAAATTAATACGACAGTGAATCGATGAAGTAATTGAGAAATCCCAAAATGTAGTTCTGTTTGAATATTTTCTCTTCCATTTTGGATTTTGTATTTTCTAGTATCACAATCATATCTGTCGATTCGTTACGGAATACTATGTGTGACACCTTGGTCATGGCGTTGTAAATTATATTGCAATGGTGCAAACTGCAAGTACTGTTCATGGAAATCATGGTCGCTGAAAGAACAAGCTATCCGAGGATTATATTCCTCATGGTTTGAATATTTTTATCAGTTTAATTATAATTAAAAATCAATTGTTGTAATTCCTAATAATAGCAATTGTTGCTGACGATAACAATATTTTTACAGGATTACTCGAAACATTGTGGCAATGTCTCGACCAACTGTTAAAACATTTACTGATGACAATCTCATTGCACAATTCCAAAAGTTCGTTTTGATGTTTCTCAAAAATTGCTTTTCAAACAATCATAAAAAATCTTGATTTTACAGGGATTTTTGAGGAAATGAAATTTTCATCTGTTACGATTTCTATTATTGCAGAGCAAACATTTGCGCAGTTATCAATCTTCAAATGCTTGGCGAACATGATTCCTGTGGACCGGAACTACTACCTTCTGGTTTCACATATAATCCGGAAATACTGATGCAGAATGGAAGTAAGCCTAGTGTATCAAAAAAAAAAAAAACTTCTACAGCATTTGTTCAACATAAGTATTTCCTGCTGTTTCAGTACAGTTTTATAATTTCGTTTGGCCAGATTTTGGAGCTCTTGGAATTGACATTCTTTTGGATATTGTAAAAGTTGTTCACTGCTCTCTCAGACAAGGTATGTTCTCATGATATTTGAGAAGAGCTGAATTGCTTGAAACCATTCATTCTTAAATTTGTTTAGGAAAGGTAGCTATACATTGTCATGCAGGACTTGGCCGTACAGGTGTTGTTATTGCTGCTTATATGATTTGGGCCGAACATTTCACATACACAGAAGCCATCAGTCGTGTTAGAACTGCAAGGTAATACTGCTTTGTGTTCAAAATCAGAGAGCTAAAATTAAAAGAAAAATTAAAATGTAATTGTAATTAATGGCAAATGAATTCAGGAGAATGAAGAAAATTTAGATGACCTTTCAAACTTGATATTGATAATCTTGTTTAAATCTTTAGAATTTCTAAATTGAATTTTAATTTGAATGCGGCATATTTGACACAAAGTATTTTCAAATCAATTTATACGATAGGCCAAATTCGGTGCAGAGCAGAAAGCAAATTAGGATGGTAAAAGACTTTGGAATGTTTCTGGAGAAACATGGTGCAGCTTTGCCACATGAAGCAGGAATGGTACACTTAAATGATTACATGCACATGCAGGTGAAAATTCTCTCTAGCAGTCAAGCCCGGAAATATCATCATATTCCTAAGGTATAACTTATTAATCTTCTAATTGATAATTAATATCTTTTTAAAGAATGAGTTGTAATGATCTTTAATCTTACGACATCCTTCAACATTCATTTTACAAAATGAAATAGGAAATTCACTTCAGAAGCTGTAATTAGTTGTGATTTACTTCGCAAAATAACTTATTGTGAGTGAAAGGTGTTGCATGCAGCGATGGAAGAACTGCTGCTTGTTGTTCATGGTGAACTTGATGGCAGGACACGACAATGGATTACAAACGTCCTAAAATGCACATCAAAGATTGATCGAGAATTTTTGGAAAGATGGCCAGCACGATTGCCAATACCATCGTGAATATTTTAATTCTTAGTATTCAAAATTTAACAAATTTTTACTTACTTTAACCTCTATTTCATTCCTTTTAATCTTCAATATTCCATGAATATGCATCGTACACTGATATCTCCCATCAACCGAATCATTAATTTTGGTATCGCTGTTGCAATTCTAAGACACTAGCGAAATAGATGTGAATGTTGTGCATGTAGAGAATTTTGATAATTTCAAAATTTAGATGAATTTCAGGGTAACTAAAGTGACATTCAGAATGCATTTACAGACCGTTTAAATGTTTAGGAAAGTGAAATCACAAGAAATTGACATTTGTATATGCGGAGTAATGGAGAATTGCGGTGAAATTTTGGATTCTAGTTGTAAAGATGCAAAAATAATCAAAAACGGTGCATTCCAAATGAATAACTGCACGAAATTCATACGTAACAATTTCCGAGGCAACATGCTTCTGTTACTGCGAACGTTAGATCAGCTGATGAATTCATTCATTAAACCAATTATCCCGAAAGAAGAAATACTTGGTGACCTTCGACGAAACAATCAGCATGCAGTATGTTGCATAAATTAGCAGATGCAAAAGCTATGTTATAGTTTCTAGAAGTAATAATCCAAGTTTTATCTCCAGCAAAATGTAGATAAAACATGGAATTTAGCACGAGAGTGGTACATTATTTCAGGACTGGCAATGTTTGAATCGTTACCTTCTGATCACGATGGCATCATTAAGCAGCGGGAATTATATGAACATTGCAAAACTTATTAGCCGTTGGTACCTGGGCGAATCAGCTAATGATGATAATAACATTACTGTCACTCTGCAAAACCAACTTCAACGAGCTTAATTGAGGTACGGTTAGAATCGATATCATATTGTTCTTGTAATTCATCTGAATTCCAGATAAACTCAAAATTTTAGATTGCAGATGAAGAGATGATTAATTGTGTATTTGAAAAGCTAATCATACATCAATATCATCATCTCTATGTTTTTCTCTATTTTTGTTTTTTTTTTCCTTCCAAAATTATATATTCATCATCCTGCCAAAGAGGTACAGCCAATCCTTCTGTAATAGCAGAGCTATTATGTAATTCTCCTAGCTAATAATTCGAGACGGCTATTATCATTTTTAATATTGCATTAAGGTATGTAAGTAGAATAAAATGCAACATTCATTTCGAATTATAGAACACAACAACTACAACTGATATTATTAATGGGAGTCGAATAATAAAAATATTAAAGCATACTTGAACATGGAATACACGACAAAATGATTTGTTGAACTTCCCTACCTTGTTACAATCAGGTTTCAGCCCCGTCAGCATGGTACATCTCAGAGGAAACGTAAAAATTGTCCACTGAAGTGTAAACTGGAGAAAAATTAAGTGAGGAAGAGAAATACAGAAAAAATAGAACTACTAAAGTCTGGAAACTCGTGATACTGCAGATCGATGCATTACTTTCGATTGTTGGAGCTTGTTAAGAACGTTACATGCCGCACGTGTGTCATGATGAAGGCGGATATATCCGTCAGCTCCATGTGCGTTGTCATACAACGTTGCATCGAACATTTGCTGGGCTAAAACAGATCTTCGATATAAAATGAAATCAAGGATCGCTATTAGCTATTATAACGGTACCATCACAACAAATGTAGTAGCTGGATGGAATCATTATCATATCATATCATATCATATCGTCCTGTATCCATGTATTATATCACAATTACCGCAACACATAAGCCGCACTTCTCACAGAGCCACTTAAAAGTTAAAATTTAGACCAAAATTACAAACATTTACTTCAGATCATCAAAGCTGCTATTCGATAGTGTAACTAAAACTCATTGGAAATTAATGTGTCAGATTTTTAATTGGAATTGAAAGCAGCATCTATAAATTTACCATTTTCTTTGATTCTATTCTCATTCTCAAAGTTTTTATTGCTGAAGTCGAAATCTTCCATGCTTGAAACCTGAAGAGAGTAGAAATTAGAAATAGAATTGAATTGAATTCAACGTTGCAAATTCCCCAACGACTGATTTGTAACTATTCAAAAAGAAGTAAACTCATCGAAAAAGGATTATATAGAAAAAAAATTAAATTGCTTAAATCACCTCATGGAAAGCGCCAACTAATGTGGTGATCCTATGAGCAAACATGCCGCATGTCTGAACAACTAAGATTATCAGCAAGAAAGCTATGATGAATAAGCCAATCGGTTCAACTTTTAATGGCTCATCAGTAAGTTCAAATTTTCCTGTCTTCTTGCTCAATTTTGACCACTCGAAACCTTCTGTTAAAATTGAAGTAAATTTAATTCAGTTCAACTGTGATGTTATTCCAAAAAATATTAGCAATGAATCTTGTACTTTCATAACAGATCGAAATGAAGTGCAAAATATTGATGTTTGAATTATATCGCATTATGTAAATGAATCACTAAAAGTTATAATCAAAATGCGGAAAGACAGAAAGAAGCAAGCATTTACCGTACGGTTTATATTGAAACGAAAGTATTTCCTTATGCTTTTGTATAAGAAACACAGCTAAAACTAATAGGCCGTTGACAATCAAAACTGAAGATGCAATCCGGTTTCTTAAACTGACTAAACTGGCAACATCTCGTCTCATCTCCTCTTCTGTGAACTCCAATGGCTGCAAAAATTAGTTGTGCTCATTTTTTAATCTTTTCAACGACTTAACAAAACATTCACACCTAAATTAACAGTGCAGTTAGCTATACAAAAATAAGAAATATTTCACAAATTGCCTGTATTATTATACACTTAAAATGATTTTACTTTGAGGTATTGTTCAATCATTCCATTCCAGAATTCATCCTCTGCTGCATTCAATCTTCCACGACTACAAACTTGGAGATATTCAGCATCCATCCATAGAAAACGATTCATGTTTTCTCTCAATACTAGCCTTTTAAAGGGTGTTGAAGGTGATGACGAGAGCACAACATCCTTCAAGAATTACCATTATTCAACTGACCTGATATTGAATATCTTATTTTGCGATAAAGTTTGCGGTGTTGAGAGGATGAACAGAAGAGAAACTAATATTTTGATCCTGAACTTTACTTTACAAAAAAAAAAAAACGAAGATAACACATGTGACATCTGTAAATCAACCTTAAGTTCCTGAAGTTCCGTTTTCATATTATCAATTTTTTTTTGTATTTCTTGTACATCATTAGCAGCAGTAGTAGTAGTAGTAGTTGTTGTTGTTGTTGTTGTTATAGCAGATCTCCATGATGATGTTGATCTCACAAAATCGATCACTTTATGAAGACCAAATCGTTGCAATAGATGATGGAATTCAGTATGGCTTGCATTCTAAAATGTAGTACTTTTCAATAATATCATAATGTGAATAATACAGTATAATATAATTAATGCTGATAGTAGTACTTACATTACCGATTGCAACTGAAGCAGCTTCTCGTGTACCCCAGTTTATAATGTTCAAATTAATTAGTGCATAAAGTGACATAAAGATGTATGTGCATGGTATCATTAGGAAGAATATTAGACCTACAAAAGGCATCTCTATACCAACATTGTCGTAAAAAAACGATACATTTAAATTACATTTAAATTCTAATACTTTTGCCAGATGGCTGATAAGTCATTCACCAAATAATTTCGTATTTGTAACTAATCTATGTCTAGATCATTTAAGCCATTATGCTAATTTTTTTTTCTCACACCATAAAAAACCCTTCTTTGTTAGCAATCTTTGTTTCACATCATTTAAATGCCCTCTGCCGGATATCTGGTTGTCAGTTCAGTTCTGTATATAAACCAACCATCCTCCATTACAGTTATTAATTTTACATTTTGGAGTGGTTTTTGATATTATTTTAGTGTTTTATAATTATATTATATCTTTCGTTACGCGTTGTTACAATGTTGATTTGTCGGGTTTAATTACCCAAGTTTGAGGCAAAATAAAATATCTGGCAAAAACATCGTCATCAGTAGTATTCACCGTAGAAAATGTTGTGAAATTCCTGTGGATGTAGAATTGCAGCCAGGACGAATATGCCTATCATGCAGAGCACAAAGATTGGAGTAGGAGAAAGCGCAGCTAAAAATAAGATAAACGTTTGCGTAGTTCTTGAAAAGCATCAAGAAATTATAAAAATAAAATAAATGATTGTTTAATAATTCAAAAGTGAAATTACTTTCAAGAATTATCTGATTGGTTGTAGCTATAGCAACAGCAAGCATCACAAAGCCATATATCACAGAAATAAGTTTGGCAAAAATTATCTGAGAATTCGAATCAGCAATGAAACAAAGCCCAATAAAAGCAAGCACAGGTAAAGAGTTGTACAGCAACATTTTGTCCGATTCTGCTTCAAATGTAGATACCTAAATTAAACTACTACTTCTTTCATTGTTTTGATTTGTCTTGAAGCAATTTATATTTTAAAATGATCAGTTGCACTGGTTATCACTTTTTTTTCGTTATTAGATTATCGTGAAGATGATAAAAGTATTATTTACTATAGATGATTTCACTAATAATGATCAAATTCATCATCATCATCCCTCTATAACTACATATAGAAATAAGAATTTGATATGGATCCATTTTATTTACCACTTTTTACCTGCATTTAATTTCAACAAGAACTGCTTAAGGTAGAAATGATGACCTGGGCATAAACAAGCATGGTAAATACGATACTTGGAGACAAGAGACTGAAACCAATCACCATTGTCTGATACAAAATATACATTCTGGATATGCTGTTATTGCTTTGACAGACGCGCTGGAATAATTTAAAAAGCAAAAATGACAGAGTTTTGTATTATAAGAGAGAAGCACTCATTTCACTTAGCTTACTTTATAGTCGGCAAGTAAATCGACCGTATTCGCTATGGAAGAGGGAGTCCAACGACGTCGTTGATTGAAAAATTCATGGAAACCTTCAGGTGCATACGTTTCCGCATCTGCAACAGCGGCATACTCGATTCGGTAACCTTGTTTTAGGAGCAGAGTTGATAACCAACGATCTTCGCCCTTAATAAAATGTGCTGCTCGTAATGATTTGCAAAAAAAAAAAAAAAAAACACTTTTCAGTGCATTAAGTAGCATGCTTGCTTGCTTGCTTGCCTGATCGTACTGCACAAAATGACGTGCTTCGGATGCAGTCTTAGTATACTTGTGCATGACGTTATCATCCATCAAAGCAGATGCACGAAAAAGCGAGAAGCAACCGGGAGCACACAATACACATCCGAAAACATGTTCGGCTGCTTTCTGGAACCAATGAGAAATAGCATATTCGAATTTTTGATACCATATCATTATGCCTGAAATATTACACATTGCTATCACTCATATCATAGATTTTGCTTTTAAATTGAATGAAAGAGGTCAAAAGAGAAATGAAATGACCTTCGCCAATAGGATGGATCCGTCCACAAGCAGAACCGATCTCATTTTTTGCATTCATCAATCTTAGCAACTTCATCACTGCTGATGGTTCAAATTTTGAATCACCATCAATAGCTAAAATGTATGTATTATCTGCTTCAAGTTGACGATCCTCCACACTCATGTGAGAATCCATAATTCGATGACCCAGCAGATAATATAGGTACATCACCTGAAAGCTTCTATTATTTACCTGTTTTTTCATTGATTTGATATCAACGAACGTTTTTTACCTGTGACCAACGTTTTTTATGACGAACAAGTTGCTTATCCTTTAGATGGACAAACAGTAAAGTACCTGCTGGTAGACGTACTACCAGCCTTCCACCATAAGCAGTATTAACAAGTACACGGTCATTTTCAGCACTCTCGTTGACACTTTCATTTCTGAAACATCCTTTCGATAGAATGTTCTTACAGGTAAAAACAGTAACAGTAGTAGTAGTAGTCGATAATAATTTATGAAAAGACAAAAACTTGCTGTGTCAATTCCAATAGCAAATGAAAAAAAGTTTGGAAGAAGCCATTGGGAGCACGACCACATTCCATCTGATCTTCCCAAACATCGTCGAAGAATATATGTGCTGCAAGTTACTACTAATGCCTTTTATACTTTCATATCAACTACATCCGACAATCAACACTACAGGACAAATTAAGTTTATTGCAGTAACCTTCCAATCTATATTTGATATCGTCCGAGCGTCGTCTTTCTATCAACATAAGTGAATGTTCTTTGTCAAGCCTGAAACATGAAATTCTGATCCCAGCTAAAAGTTAGTTTACTTTCTCAAAGAAAAATACTTTATGATGGATTTTAGCATTTGCATCATTTCGATTCGTGTTTCGTGCCACATAGTTGCACAAATATATAACGTTACGGTTTTATCAATTTCATCATTGGTTATTCGAAGGTCACCATCATCAACTTCTGCTCCATCAGATGACCAGTGATCATCATCTATTTCCTAAATGAACATTGAAGCTTCAAATATCTGGGTTAATATAAAAGATTGCTAAAAATTTTATGCAACTGAAAAAGATCACATACACTAGCTAGTGCTTACCTTTTTGTTATGTGAAACTTGATATACTACCAGCGACTGTTCGATTGTCAAACCATTTAACAAAGTTGTGATTGTATCAAATCTTTAATGTAGAACTTCATCACAATAATAACTATTTTGATGCCATCAATTTTATTTAGTTTATATTTTTGTCAATTTAAAATAACTTACACATCGTCATCAGCACTGAATTTAGGTGCTTTGACATGCTGATAAGCCCAGCATAAATAAACTATCAACCAAAGAACACCAAAACATATCTCTGGCAATGAGTTTTGTGACACCTTCCAAGTCAAACAGTGCCATCGTAACTCATAAATAGACAAATATCCACGAATGGAACATGCAGGAGTGATGAAACACATTCCAATAAAGATTATTGTAAGCAGTGGTACAACGATCAGAAGTGGATGCAGTACTGTTAGGACTCTCATTGACATTGCTGATAACAGACGTGATATAAACCGTAGGACAAAATTCAGGAAGATAATCCAGAAAGAGAGAGTATATCTGAAGAATGAATTTAGTTAATCGGGAAAATGAAAGAGCAAGAATATAATTTTTGATGATTTATAAAAAAAAAAAAACAAACCACCTACAAAGCAGTGGTGCTTTCTGAGTCAGACATTTCAATCAGCGATGTCTTCACAGCTTTAAATGGTACATAACGAAGCTTTACAATCCACACAATTGCACTTGAAGTCAATATGCGCAGCGCTGATATCAAGAATCGTGTCATTGAAGTCATTTTCCTCGTTCCATACTTTAACTGTAAAAAGTGCTACTGAAATTTGCAGGAAGCAAGATGAATGGAAAACATGAAATTGCTTACCTGAAAAATTTTTCAGTCTTGTTGTCAAAATTACTTTAATATGAAATAATTTATAATTAATAATTCAATAAAAGTTTTATTCACATACTTGATACAAATAGTGATAACTCGACATACAGTGACCCTCATTAATCCACAAATCCCAGAAGCCAAATGATGACAAAATTAAACCGAGTGGTAATGCAATGTACTTGAAAAAAGGCACAGCACTTATACTCCACATATAGCAGGAAGCAAATACAACCAAAAACAGCACTGAATAACTACATGAATGCAGCAGTAATTTCAATCGCTTCTTCAGGCTCCTCAATTTTTTGTTATTATTTAAAATTTTGCAATGACACATTGATTGATAATCGTTAGTTACACTATAGTTATACTATTAACTGCCAAATAATCATTAATCTAATATTAATATTAGATTACCTACCATATCGGATTGAACGAACAATGTATCAATTCTTTAATTTTCAGATATAACGGCATAAATACCACATAGACTGATAAAATCAAACAATACAATGGATCCAACGATGGAAAAACATGGAAAAATAAAATTGCCGTGCCTATGGATCGGCTACATTCCATCATAAATAGCTGAATAAAAATGAAAATGTTATAAAAAGCAATGAAAAGTAATAGATGAAAAGTTACCGTTAATGTTGCTCCTTTCCGCTCTTTCGGATATTTATATATTCTATACAAGGACTGAATGATTGCCATTACATCCGGAATGTTTTGAATAAGCCACAAGGCACACACAACAGATACTGTTACTTCTGCACTTCTTGCCTTCTCTAAAAGTTGATGTTATAAGAACGATTTTGCATACAGTAATCACTAAGTGTAATTAATTAGCAGTTTTGTTAAAGTTATCTAACCTTTAATTTTCTGGTCAAAGTGCTTGGCCAGAAAATTAAATTACAAGTCATATGAAACTTCGTGCTTAATAGATTTTCTCCGTATATATTTTATGGTGCATTTTGCCATTCTCAATGATATCTATTATTGTTTTCAGAAGTACATAACTTTCATGGAAAAGGAGATAACCTTCTCCAACATGACACTTCTTTTCAAAAGAGCTTCCCGAAGATTTCAACTCGATATTGGTTGCCAATAAAATTACCACAAGCTTTGATATTGCTGCTCCAATGATCAAGAATAAATGTGACACAACAAATATCAGAAACTGAAGAAAACGAAAAGAGCTTTCAGTAGTAAATTCAAAGGTAAACAAGAACAATAAATCTTCTTTTACACTGCATCAATTTTTTATTTGCCATAAATCTTTCTTTTTTTTTTCAATCTTTTGAAATACAGTCTACATATTGCTTCTGATTAAGTGAACAGTGATGAGAAAGATTTTAAAAGAGACTAACATGAATGTTTACAAAGTAGAATATCCAGATTGACGATTCTGTTGAATAAATGAAACTTAAAGGTTGAAAGAGTATTACAAAGAATATTTTTGAAATAATCTTAGTAAAAATGAAATTCATCCGAACTATTTCACCTTGAGAATCAGTAGAGTTTTTACCATCCATGGAGTAAGCTCGTTGTTAAAATGATATTCATGAGAATAGGAACGGAAAACATTCCATCTTGATCTGAGACTATCCCATTTTGCTTTAGATGATGACATTCTGAAGAAAATGGAAAAGCAATGTGAGACTTTTTTGAGTAGCAAAATGCAATGACACACAATAAGTTGAATAGTATAATGAAAATTAAAATAATAGTTATGTAATGTGCAACACTTTCTATCTTGTTGCAAATGATCAAAGAATGATGCACTAAGATCTAATACTTCCTTCTGACTACGATATTTTAGCGCAAATATTCGACTTATATCATAATATTCTTTTGTATAATAAAAAACAAATGTATAAAATATTCGATAGATATTGCTCTTTTATGATGTCATTTATGGAGGAGTTGCTCATTAGACATCATCTAGAGAGAAGTTTGTCATATTTGCATATATCATTTGGACATGGGATTAATGTATTTAGTGTTGCAGAATACACCCATCTTCCAGGCAACTAACTTTCTATCTACTTCTATACAAAGGTAGTGTGTATATATACCTGTAGGATAGGATGAAGCTTCATTTATCGATGGCAAAGTTTCCTTACTACAGCGGATGATGGGTCATCGAGTCAGTCTGGCAGTAGTAGTGGTAGGATGAAGAAGGTTTGGACAGGATAGCATCAACAGGTGCAATTTCAACTTATTTCAGAGGTGACTGGTAACGTGAAATGAAGGAGGCACTAGGTTTTTTTGGATTTTTGTTAGCTGCCAGATAACTTTATCGACCAACCAATTAGTTTAAGAAGATGATGTTAAGTGAGAAGGAATTTGTAAATGAAGATATTCAAATTTTGTGCATCGAAGTTTTTAAGCAAAGAATGAATTTGCTAGATCGTATGCATAATTCAAGCATTCTTCAAGTAATATAGTTTGAATTAACAATCAGTTCATCGTTTAATTGTGACATTACTTGTAATTCTGTTTATATTTCATACATGGATGATCAATGTTCTTATTTCTGTATGGGTGTAGGAGTCACTTCTAAAATGTATTGCATTAATTTGAAACTTCGTTTGAGTGGTAGCATGAAAATTATAATGAGGTCAAGGATATTCACCCAACCAATGGTCTTTGTCACCTCTCCTCTTTTCCTGCTCCTCGTTCCACCTATTCGCATCTTAATTCGAGATTTCACGCATTATTCTGTTTTTCTTGATCATTTTTTATGCCATTTTTTCTGGACACTGTCATCTAATGTGTCCATCATGTTACTATAATAGTTTCAACCGTTTCTATGTTTTGTTCTACCCTTTTACCAACTCTTTTCACTTGTACAAACATCAATCTCTAATTAACAGATATTCATTTGAATTAGACCACTTTTATCAAGTTGAAAGAACAAGAAAAACATAAAAGCTTGAATGATCCACTAATTAGATGCCAATTTTCAAAAACTTTTTCTTTATATTTCAATTTTATGAGAACAAACAATCAGATCTGTCTTCAGAATGAAGTGAAGTGATGATCTACGTGTTCTTTCCTCTCTCTATTAGTCATTTCAGATTAATTTTCACCTTCATTCTAATTCTTCATCTCCAATTTTTGTCATTTAGAACCCTTATTAAATGTCTGAAATGTTTAATGGGTTAACAGCTTCATGTCACTAACGTGCCACTGTGATTTTTTTTCATATTTAAATTTTTGAAGCAGATGTTAAATTCAACAATACTTTTCTTTGCTAACAGTTCTTGAACGCCTCCCACTTTTTGAACTAGTATGATAAAGGGAGAGATTTTGACAAAAGAAATTCAATGGTATTTGAATTTTGCAACTATAAGTAAGAAAGTTTATCAATATTGTTAAGTGTTTTGAAAAATTTAATATCCGTTTCATCTCTCATTCATAAAAATATTGATACATGCGAGGATTTGATTTGAATTGAAATACTGAAAGATATAGAAATAACCTGGAAACTTACCTGAAAGTAGCTTAGCTTATTCATGTACATAAATATAAATGAATCAATTATTTCACTTCATTTTTGTTACAATTTCACGTACTTAGCTAATTGCTAGTTCTGTAATGAGTGATTAAAACAATTAGCAATCGATCATCCCTTCCGACAATAATAGAAACCTTCCGACATGATACTTTTAAGATTCTATCAATTTTAAATATTCAGATATTAGTTTCAGTACCAGTGCCATCCACTTTTCATGATTCTTTGGAAGAATGCATAATTTCTGTATTTAATATTATTTTTACATTAAGAACACAGTTTGTAGATGTTATCTTACTACGCACTCGATTTGTTATCGAAAGTGTGATCAGAATTTGTGTTTGAAATGGTGTCGGAATTTAAATCATTTGCTCACACAACGTAACAAACTATAATCACGTCGTTCAATCCGGTCCGAGTAACATAGCAGGAATAAAAAAGAAAAACTGTTCGTCTTGCAGTTTGTTCGCAGTAGTTTTCATCATGACACATTTAACAAAATTTAACTTTCACCAATTTTTTTTTTTTTACACTGTTGTCCCCACCGATCTCCATTCATTCCTAATTCATTTCAATAAGTTGAAAATCAACTTTTTATGATTTCATTACTTTTTCATTTTGTTTTCCAAGTTAGAATAGCATGAGAACAACTATAATGTATGCATATGCATATATCATTTATGAAAAGCATTCCTAGCAGGAAATCATATTCAAAGCTTCTTTTAGCAAAATTTTCAACAAAATTTAATGACCGATAAGTTGGAATATGAATGGTTGCAAGTTTGCAACGAGAGAGGATTATCAAACAGTATGACACGTTTTGCTTAACTATTTAATGATGACAGATTTTACATGATTTTTGAAATAAATTTTTTCCCGTGATTTCCTTTTCACTGGATGATTTCTCTCATAAACAATTGTTTTTCTGAAAATTTGTGGTTCATACGAATCATTTTCCTCGTTTCTGTGCCTCTCCTCTCTTTGCTTTTCTCACCAAAACTGCATTTCTCGATATGGACTAAAGAAACATACGTTTTAACATATGACATGAACGAATTGGCATTCGTACTTTGGTTTTGGATGTAAACAACTATTAAAATGAAACATTTGCTTTCTTTTGGACATTTGCATCAGAAAGAAAAATACCACAACAAACCCTGTCGTTCGAGATCTGACTTGCAGTATTTCATGAATTTAATCTCTGAAAAAAAGTTGAAAATCTTTTGATATAAATATGTCATGAACAACAAAGTAAAATGTTTGTATCATTTTCTGTATGATTAGTAAATCTATTATTACCTGCATAATAGAAACATACTTAATCTCAAGACATCACATAGATAGAAGCTTACAAAGCTAATTGTTGTCACAGCAGAACTGGTTATTGTTTAAGTAAAAAAAATGCTTATTGTCTGGAAAACGAGGCTATTGTTCCGGGTGATTTCATATGCACTTCGGCATCCGGTTCCCATTTGTTGTTCATTGGATCACATTTTCCAGCACAACACAGAAGTTGGCTATATATGTTGTTGTACGACCGATGGAGCACACGGTGTGGTGTAATGGTGTTCCTTCCTTCTTCGTAACAGCAGGCGCATATTTCTTATAACTACTACATCGTCCTTCTTCGTACCATCTTTTTCATTCTTCGTGCAAATTTTCATTCTTTAAGCGTAATTATAACGGGATGAAAATTACAGGTAATCCATAGCAGATTACTATAATGTGACACTGTTTGTCTTCATTTTACATGGTTTAATTCAATGTCATTTCATTTGCAACGACTTTTCGATTATCATTTTTTACTAGCAAATACAAAAAGGAATTGTCACTTTACACTGAGTGGCATTTCATCCTTTTGATGTCTCTTTCTAATCGCTATTATAGCAGCTATTTATATATCATTTTATTTGTTACTGATATCAATTATTGCTCAAAATTAGCTTGTATGATTCAAAAGACTTCCGAATTAATCTAAACTTCAATTGCAGTTCTGTTTTTTTTTTTTGCCAAATAAGGCTAATGCCTATTTGTATTTATGCTCGTTCATATTTAATCGTATTCTGAAATATAAAAATTTAATTTCAAACATCTTTTGAAGGCCACTGAACGATATCAAATGACTTCAACATGTAGCTCACCCTCGTCAAGTGGCTATGGGACATTGTCAAAGAACAGTGCTGTCAGGAATATGCAAAAACAGCAGAATTCTGTGTTTGGCAGTTCAACAATGGTGCTCTTTTCTTTTTTATTTTATGTTGAATTTTTATTTTGTTATGTTGAAATCCAAGTTTGTAAGTTATTTGGAATTTCATCCTTATTTGGTCCATGTCATTAATTGAAAAATTAATTCGTGTGAGTAGGGCACATATCTAGTATTGAAATGTGTCAACTGTTTAGATGGGCGAAATTTTGCCTTTCACTTCAAACATGCTGTTAAATAAATTAATTTTAAATGAGCTAATTCTAAAGTTAAAAACTGAAACTTTTTCGAGCAGATAGCATACGTTGCGTTGTAGAGAAGCTACTATTAAATAAATAATTTTTGTCATTCTTAGTTGATCTTTAGTTGAGGAAAATGGTAAAGAATCTCATCAAGAAAATTAAATTTGGTAACTCTTCGTTCTGTTCAAATGTGGAATCAAATTCTTTGAAAATGATGATTAAAATTTAGGCTCCACTAATCTAGTGATGCTGTTGACCAGCTGTTGCATGTCGTTTATTAATGTATATATAATTTTTGCTAAATCGAATTATTGTTTGGACCATTTTCCTTTTTTGTTGTTCAAATTTCGAGGCATTTGTCAGGACAGGACTGCTCATTAATTCTAATAGCTTGCAAATTCAATTTTCATATGCAAAACGAGCAAGTGACATGCTGGAAATAGGTGGAATGAGCTATTAGTCAGTTACATATGAAATTATTTCAAATATTACCAATCCCTCGGGAATATTTGCAGAAATGTTGAAGTAATGAAAAGCCGAAAATCTGATGAAGTAGAAGTAAGCATGCTTACGTTGTTTACGTAATATTTGATTTCTATTAAAAATGCCTTGCACAGGAGGTTCGATAAAAAGTGATTTATCATTCTGTATGGGGAGCAATTAGGATTAATCTCTTTGGAAAAAAAAAAGCATAAAGACAGTTTTTAACAGAGGAACGACAAGCAGCAAATCTTAGCTCCACATAGTTACTTACACCTCTTCCCTCAACATATGTTATCTTTATCTCTTCCATCGTTCAGAATTTTCAATTCTAAGAATACTTCGATGGAGGATGAAGAAATGAAGTTTGCATCTGTCCATTATTGTCGTAATTTCCTTCTTTTTTCTGAATAATAAATATTGCAAGCCCATCTAACTTTTCCTTAAATTACAAGTCCTTCTAACTTTTTCGTAATTCCTTAATTTCTTTTTTCAAATTATCCCTTTATCGAACTACACGATCAGTATGCCATCCTTGTAAATATTCAGTGTTCATTGGCTATCTCATAAAATCTTTCTCTACTCTAAAAGTAACAGATCAGAGCGAATAGCATTAGTGATGTGTCATTTTAACTTACTTACTTGAAGTTACCGAATCAGATGTCAACACAATCCAACTATCATTAGCACTGAGACATTGAGAAGTAGTGCAAAGAAAGATTTTTTTTTTTGCTAGAAACAAAATCTCGAGGTTTGGACACAATAATGATTGGAAACTTTCATTGTCAAATCTCTCCAACTATATTCACAAATACTCATTTAATCCCAACAAATAATTCACAGTTACTGATCACTGCTAGTTGTGATGTGACAGTTATTAAATTTAACACTGAGAAAAGTTTTATTTTCTTCGAGTAAGCTAGTATTCGTCGATGAAACAAAGTTCATAATCTGTTTTATGAACTATGAGCTATAACTATACTATCAAAAATAGCCTAATCATCAGCCTGCATTCTCCCATTGCAATGATTCATTAATTTCGTTGGCGATACCTACATCTTTAAGCATCATTCATTAGCTCGACGAACTCTCTTACTAAGCAAATCATTTGTAAGAAGTTCATTAATTCGAGGATGCATTGCTTACTGTGATTATTCTTTACTTCTTTCAAACAGATGTTCTGATTAAATGAAACGATAATATGACCTTTAAATTTAGGAAAAATTGTTGCTTTTTCAAAAAAATTTTCACGGTTAATCTCTGAATGACAAGATGGTGATATTAATAATTAGAGAAGTATGGAATAAATAGTACTATTTTGCTATTTTGCGTGATGCATGGTTGACACATTGTGCTAAAATGTTTTACTCCTTAAATGATTAGTTATCATCATTTCATGCATACAAATATGAATCAAAAATATATAAGCAAATTGTTCATTTGCAATTATTAAATTTCAATGCTAATATTATCATCAGCATATTATTATTATTATTACTGTAACTATAAATAGATGAGCAAAGAAGATTATGAAAGAGATCGTATACGATGGCAACAAAAACTGGATGATACATCGAAACGTTTAGCCGATGCCGAAATTGTCAATTCCGAAATGAATCAAATTAAAGCTGAATTGGTTAATTTTTTTTAAAATTGTTTTATCATTTTTTTTTCTAATTTATATTTCATACTTATTAATTACACTTGCTACTTATCACAATTTGTCTAAAAATTCTGAATTTTCTCGTGTTTTTTAATCCAAGAATTAAATTAATTCAATTCTAGAATAAAAAAATTGTTGAAATGGAACGAATTCAACGACCATTGATTGAACAAAATCGTCGATTAACTGAGCGAAATCGTATACTTCAAAATGAAATGAAACATTGTGAGCAGAAATTATGTCACTCTCAGGATGATTTCTTAACGTTGGTTAGTTTCCATTAGTGATGAATGTGTGTACTTACTGCTAAGCATTGTGATAGATTTTTGCTGCTACCATCAATTTATAAATGAAATTTTCAGAAGGATGATTACGAAAGGTTAGCTAAGGATAATCAGAACCTGAAAGAGAGAAGGGCTTTTCCTGAAAAACTGGAAGAATTGGACAGGTATAGAAATCAAGTGCTGGAGTACTCCAAATGTATTACTGCATTAAGGCAAGCAGGCTTGGTAAGTCTCTCTTTTCATGTTTGAAAATATTTCCGCTCACTTTCTGCTGCTGACTGATATATTTTTTTTTTTTTTTTGTAGCTTTTGTAATCGTGATAAGAAAAATGATAATAATTTATGATTGTGAATGTAAAGCAAGTGATAACTTACTTCAGGAGTGACACAGAAATAAGTAGGAAATTCTGATAATGAAGAATAATGATAACTATTGGTGGATAATCACTTCATCGATTTCTCTTTTGAAAATTTCAGGAGAAGGATCGTCGTTATGATTTGTTGGTTCAAAAATTCAAAAGACTGAGGAAATGTATATCTTCTCGAAAAAATGGCGAAACTGAAGAGGACAGGCAATCATCATTCGGTGGATCTGATTGCTCCGCTGAAAGTTCTATCTCACTAAACACTATTACAGAAGACTTGAACGAAGTACTCAATTCTGAAAACACTTTTTTTTTCTTTTCAAACTTTCAGAATAAATGAACTGTTCTTGGATTGCATTTGCTTTGAAAATAACTTTTTCATTCTATCAATACATTTAAAATTAAAGACATTATGAACAGTGCGGTGAAATTTTCCTTTAATACAAAAAAAAAAAAAAAAAAACAATAACAAACTCTGATACATTTTTAGTTTACAGTTTCACATCAAATTACAGGCACTAGATAAAGATATTGAAAACGGTTATCAGCAAATCGCTCGCGAAGGTGAACAGCTTCGACGAACGTTATCAGTACTGAAAACGGGTGAGTATGCGCTTGAAGATGATCAGCTTCTAAGACATCAGCTAATTTGCGCCCAAACAACAATTGCTCAACAGCAGGTTGTCATCGAGCAGCAACAGTTACAAGTAAACCATATCAGTGATTTATTACTACTTACTACTAATAATACATAATTTTAAGTGAGCATGGCATATTAATCAATTGATCTACAAAAAGCTAACATACCTCGTACGTACGTGCTGCTACATTGCAGTGTGTTGTGGATAACTTATAGATATTTTTGTTAGAAGAATTCTACTTTTACGCAAGCAATCTAACTTATATCTCTTAGTTGAAAAATTAAACTTAACTTTTCATTTTAGTGTTCACAGCCAGCACTTAGAAGAAATCCAGCACGAATTGAACAGAATTTTCAAAATTTACTAGCTTTACTAGTATTAATGAAATTAAGTAAGCATAAGTGAATAAAGAATGTGTGTAGATTAGCTGTTCAGTTTATTTTATCACACATGATAAATTGAGCTAAATTTACAAAAATGTAATTACTCTTGCTTAATTGGTTAATAACACTTTTTTACTAACAAAACTTGTTAAAAGTTAAATGATAATGACAATTAGTCCAGTATATTGATCTTAAGGTTTTTTTCCTTTTTCGTTTCTAAGTAAAATATTAGAGAAATTTAAATTCTCATTTTAGACAGGTGTTTTACGCTCATAGTCACTAAGATGTTCCTCTGAACAACGTATGAAATTTTTTCTATGCAGGTTTTTGTAAAAAAAAAAAAAAAAATTTAGAACAGCTTCTTTACCTAAAGTAGATGAAAAAATCAACAACCTAATAGTGAAAAATATGTGAATAAACATAAATCCATTTTTTTTTGTTTTAAACTCAAACTGCATCACATATCAAAGTTATGTGGCACGATATGTTCGGATTGCTGTCTGGATACTACCATTTACCTGTAAGTGACTTTATTAGTTTAGTCGGAAAATACGATGGAATTGCTGGATAGCATCGCTAGACTACAGGATCAGATTGTGGAACAACGCTCCAAAATGGAAAGTATGGAAGCGGAACTTATTGAGTCCAAAGAAATGAACGAATTATTGGAATTTCAAATTCTAGAGAATAAAGAAAACATGGAGCATGAATTTGAGGTGTGAAGCTTTGATTTCAGTTTGCTTTTTAAAACCAACTTTTTCAGTGTTGCATATTTTATTTATTGAAATCTTTTTCCTAACTGATATTGGTATGCTAATTGTGTTATTAGCTAAAACTTGCTCGAATGCTTCATTATACAGTTATGCCTAATAATAGTTGATGAATATAGCTGATATGAAGATGGCAACGCGAAAATTGATTTAGCGAAAATCGAAAAATCGGGATTAGATTACGCAGGATGTTTAGCATCATGATGCTTTTCAGAATGGTTGTGTAGAAGCGCCTATCAGTAATTATGATATCAAATCAGTGAGCAACCGGCAGTTCAGATTCTAGAGTTTTCTTCCCTCTCTTTTCAGTTATCCTGAAATGTCAATATTTATAAACTAGCGATTGCTCTTTACTAACAATACGTAATTCTGACAGTAAGGAAAAATGCATGATTTCCTTTGCAATTTAAAATGTGCAATTCAGGAACTTTTCATCTTTATTCATTTACACCTACCCTTTTCTTGTTGTTATTAGTCTCTTGGACTACTGTCCCTTGGAAGGACAATTTTATGATTTTTCATTTCTACCAATCTCATTTAGTTTTTCCTTTTGAATATTGAATTAATCTGAACCTGTTGTAATTATTGCTATCAGAATGAAAGTTGGATTGTCATTAAAGGTCTATCATCATTGTTTTATTAGAGAGATGAAGAAATCTTGTATTGAACTTTGTTTAGGAACGACAAACATTGAAAGAGTCAGTAAGCAAGGATACAATGACGGATTTGTGGATCAGTGAGGAAGATGAATGCACATTTCTTAGTCAAATGTCACCTTTATCAGTAAGATTTTAAGCGGAAAATCGATAGGAAATGACAAGTAGTTTTGACAATGCTAAAACAGGAAAACATTTTCTTTCAGTTTTTTTTTTTTGAAGGATTTTGGAGAAGCTTGCAATCGGAAATGTGAACTGATCAATCTACGTCGATCAGCATCGTTAAATATAAAACAAAGAGAGCTTGTGCAACAAGTGCTCACATATATTGAACATTTGGAAGACGTTGGTTGTTATAACATTTATCATGAAATTTATTTTAATGAAAAATTTTTGATCCATTCATCAAATTATTTCAACTCTTTATTCTTAGCAATTTGCAATGAAACATTAAAGCAACAATTTGTTTCACTCTTACTGCTTAACATTCTTCCATTTCATTTACATCTTCAAAAAATTCCCTTTCAGCAATTGTTACATCTCAAAATAGACACAGAACAGAAAATGTATCAATTTGCACTGAAAGAAACTGAAAGTGCGACAAAAATACAAAATCTTGAGGAGCAAGTTGAGCAATCATACTCAAAGCAAAAAAAGAGGAATGTTAGTTCTTCTTTTTTTAATTAGGAATTGAAAAAAGTCATTGATCAAAAGATATTGAAATAATTGTTTCTTGCATTCAATCACTTACGAATTATTAATTAGTGGAAGGAAACAAACCCACTCACTAATGCTAATAAATTGAAAGAGGAGACCGGTTGATGTTATTTCAAATTTTGCTTTTTTTTTTTTCTGGTTGAATTAGTTCTATCAGTTAGACTAAAAATGTGAAATCATTTACTGGAAAAAAAAACACTTTAAATTACGGTAGTGTTTTCAGGACTTACAAATGGAAGTAGAGATGTTGCGGAAGCGAGAACTTGAGCTTGATTCAGAGAAGCAAATGGTTTGTGCACTTATTTAGAAGGCAAAGCAAAAAATCCGTAAATCATTAGACCTACATTGAATTGTCCCTGAAAGGAAATCTTCTGATTTTAACTTCTCACTTTTGTTACTAATTTTTGTCTAAAATTGACATTCAAATGAATTTATTATTCAGCTGAATGGTGAAGTAAATAGAATGTCCAAAGAAATGGGTAAATTAAGATATCTATTGCAACAGAAGGATGAACAGCTAATTCTACAAGGCGATAAAAGTTCTGAACAAGAAGGGTTAAGTGATCTCTGATATCTTTTTTTTCATTCAAATTTCTCATAGTTTTATTGAAACATCGGACATTTCAATAGTAAGCTAACATATGAAATTTGCATAATCCAAATGGAATTTAAAAATAACACTTGCATTTATGCTTATCGATGCATTTATTTAAGTCGAATTGCTAAGCTGAAAACTGAGATGCAATGTTGTATGGATGAAAATAATGAGTTACGTTGCCAGATACGAGAGCATACCGAATCCTTACAACAGTTCAAGGTAGTTAGACACAAATTTTTCGCGCAATTACAGAGCAATATTTGCATTGCAAGCAGTTCGTTCGTTTAATCGTTTAATTTGTTGTGAGAAAATGAGAAATTTAAAAATTCAGTAAACTTTAAGGAAAATCTGGCAAAGAAAGAGGAAGAAATGAAATTGCTGGAAAAGAAAAACGCTAGATTACAGGTGGAGCATAGCACTGCTTTGGATGAAATACAACGATTAAAAGATGATATAAGGCCTGAAATAAAGTAAGTTAAGTGTTTAATGCCAGCTTATTCTCAAGCATTTCTGGCTAGGAGGTCATTTAAACTATCATTTGTCTTCTTTACAACTTTTAGCACATGTTTTTTAATCATAGTCGAGACTGATCGAGATCTGATAATTTCAGGACAAATTTTTTTACAATGTTTCATAATGAAAAGTTCACTAATTACCACTGTTACTTTTACTAATTGTACTAAATTGACACAATTTCAGGACAGATTTGGAACGTCGTTTTGAAGAATATCGCTATCGTCTTTCATGCGCTTTGAAAACAGTGCATGAGTATGAAGATGAAATTTCAAAGCTGAAAAGTCGTGTAGCCAAATTAGAATCAGAAAGACAGGAAAGAAATGATAATAGTGTGATAGAATTAGAACAAATTCGTGAATACAGCGAACAACTTGAAGAACAATTTACAGCTCAGGTTGGTATCATCGAAGCGCTGAAGCGGAAAATTATGCAGGTGAGGTCTAATTTTTTTTTTTTATTTTATTACATTACAATTAAATTCCCCAGAAAGAAAGATAGCGAAGTAATGCATCAAAGATTCGGAAAACTGTGATCAGAAACTCATCTTGCTATCGAAAATTTTTCATTCTTTGAAGTTTTATTTTATTGGCTTAGTTAATTATCCAGTCTCATTCTTCACCAGACTTAATTATTTCATATTAAATAGCCAATATTTTCGTTCAGCTCTGCTTTATTTGTTATCTTCGAAACTTTACTTTCATAACGATGAAACTTGAGACAGATGCAAAAATTGGACTGTATAATATCTCATCAGGTAGATAAAAATAGATTCCGGTTTTGAAAAACACTGTACATCTAGCTACATTTAGTGTCATCATCAGTAGATACAAAAAAAATGGGAAGATATAAAATAGAAGACACAGAATGATCGATAAAGAGTGATACCCGTTTTATTAATTGTATTATATCAGTTATCAAAGATTTAGCAATCTTATTTCGACTTTTTTTTCTAGCAAAAAGCGCTCGCTGATTTTTTATGGAACATGACAGAAAGTGATGAATTAAGCTTTGCAAAAGTGGAAGATAATCTAACGAGATTCAAGTTATCACAGCAAGATGAAATGGATTGTCAGTTGACCGATGCTGTTCAGAAATTGTTAAGGCTTGTGTCAGCTAATTGTTCCTATAGCTATGAAATAAAAAAAAAACCGTTATCAACTACTGTTACTTAATTTTTTATGTATTATAAAATGTATTCATTGATTAATGCATGTTTGAATTGCATTCCATATCATCGTATCCATGAAATAGCTCACATTTCATAGATATAAAATAGTTTGCTTATTTAAGGTTGAAAATTTTAGGAGGGCAATTTCTTGAATTTTAATGTTCAAGAAAGAGAGCTATACTATCAAGAACAGTTAATCTGAATTCTAAAAACTTCATTTTCAATTGAAATTTTTGAATACTATTATCATGATAACGATAATGGTGTAAAGCTTTGTAATAAAGTACTAGGTCTCAGTCGATTCGTCATCATTCCATTCCTTTCCAAAGTTTAATTCCTCAACTTGATTCTTCAAAATCTTAAATTTTCGGGAGCTCATGTGCACTTTAGACTGATGTGAAAAATATTCATATACAGCCAGAAGCTATTGTTTTTATCATACTGATTTGAATTATCATTCATGCTAATGTCTTAAAACAAGGTGCTTTTAGTGAAGTAGTTTTTTTTTTTTCTACATGTAGTTTTACTGAACTAAAACAGTATGACTTATCATTTATAAATAAAAATGGTTTCGTGCTTCAAGCAGAGACCATACTCTGTGATTTGTCACCCAACTTAATTTAGCGTGATCTGAATTCCCCATCTGCTAATCTGGACTATTTTTGGCTCCAGCAAAAAATTGTGCATTAACTGTTCTAGCATGGAATGGTTTTTTGAATTTATTGCATCAACTTCATTAACACAATTCAGCTATCCAGTTCAGAAGCATGGCATAATTACGGAACAACCTCATTTGATCAGTTGCTAACAAAAGCACACTTATCACAACCGTATGAAAATGAATCGAATATTGTTTGTCCGTTTCCAGAATCATTCCACTGTTATGAGTAATCTTTTCACTTCTCTAAAATTTTAAATCGCAAAATGGAGAATGATTTGAGAAGAGATTAGATTCGTTCATTGATCATTCTACGTTCTAACTGTAAGTTCAGGAGGAGTAAATGTGACTGTAGTAAACTGATGAAGCACTGAAAAATGCTCATTAGTCATAGTGATGACTAATGAGCATTTTTGTTTCGAGCAAAGGCATAAGAGATAATGTGACATATTTGATAATATCAAGATGGGTCAGTAAAGACTTTTCTGATTTATAACCTTCGTTACTCTTTGATGTGATAGTGTCATTTCATTTAGAAAAACGAAAAAGAATAAAGATAGGCGACAAATGAGCTGAAATGTTGTTAATGAAGAAGCATACATTAAAATGATTTTGGCAAACTGTTATTCTTATCAATGAATGGAAAAAGTAATATTAAAAATTGCCATTTTATTATTTCCACTATAAATGCGCTTTTATCAGCTATTTTTCTGTAAGCAGCATATCATCACATTAACAGAATAGCCTATATCATTTGAGATTTGTAGGAATTTCATCAGATTACACAAAAAAAAATTTGCTCTTGAAAATGCTAATTATTTAAATTTGTACTCCAATTTTTGCAATAATTCATGCATTGTTTTCATTCACTGTTTCATGGTTTTCCTTTTTTGAAATTAGTACTTTATCTTTTACTAAAACGTTAGAATTTTCATCCCTGAGATTTTGTTCTTCGAATTTGAAATAAGAATTTCATCATTAATCCTAATCACTTCAGAAAGACATCGATCGGATGTTTCACCAAATGACTGGTGAAAAAATGATAATATCAGTCATCAAAAGAACTGATCAGAAATTATGATAACCTTTTTGGAAATGAGATGATAAGATAATATTTCTTACCGAGAAAAGGGAGACAATTGAACTCAAAAAGTACAAATAGGATGATGGAGAGACTGGAATTGAAAGGTAAGGTTGTGGAAGAGACAAGAGCAAGAAAGGACATGCAAGGTCATCTTACATCTCTAATAACGATCGTCGATTCCTCAAAAATGATTTCTGTCGCTGATAATATCATCAAATCAAACGACATAACTTGCTCCCAATTATGATAATTACTAATGCGATCTTCTTCTTCCTTCATCTTCATAACATATCATGTGGCCACATTAACATCCCAGTAATTATCCACTTTTAATAACTAATACCAAGTCTTTCTATCATTATCATTACTATCACTATCACCATCATCATCATCATCACTATCATTATCACCATCATTATCATCATCATCATTATCACTATCATCATCATTCAAGTTCTTGCGTTGCTTAGTATTTTCCCGAAATTGGATCTCTTGTAGTAGTGTCTACTGATACTCATATCTTTTCATAACATTTTCACAAATACTCGATTGATAAATTTCGAATATTTGAGAGCCATGAATTTGCTCGATAAGAAAGTGTATGACTTCGCTTTCAAGATGTAAACAAGTTTATGGAAAAGTACATTTTATATGCAAGGAAATTCTTAAAATATTTCATTAGCAGTTGAGCATGTTTTTATTGCATTTTATTAGCAATTCAGCTACATTTCAGCTTAATATCAGTAGTTTCTTAATAATTCATGAATTAAACAATAGAGTCGTCTGCTTTGTAGCAGTGTTTAATGGTTTTAACAAACAACAATTTATGTTATCTTAGATTTAAATGCAGATTAAATTATGCAACTTTGAATTAGCTTTATAATTTGCTGTTACAAAAAAAAAAAAAAAAAAACAAAAAACTTTTCAAATTTAGCAAAAATTTAGTAAAAATTTAAATCCAATTCAGTGTGCCTATTGTTGCCATTATGGCTTTTTCTTTGTCACATTGACAAAACATCATTGTAACTATGGAAAGATCTAAGAAATGTTTAAAAAAATTTTGTATCTGATATTTGCAGCATATATCATCACCCCATACCTATTAAGTTCCTTTCGAATTGCTCTCCAGACTTGCACTTCTGCATGCATATTGCAGTTTGAACAGATAAACGACACACGAAATAACTAAGCACTTATATCTTAATATGTATTTTAATGATAATTTGAAAGAAATAATTTACTAATTATCTTCAAACATAAGCAGGAGAATAGTTTGGGATATCATTTCTGAGAACATTTTTATAATTAGCTTTTTTTTTCCAGAAATTATTTCAAAAATATTCAATTAGTTACTGCAGATTTCGGGATTGTTGAAGAAATGTCATTGTTGGAAAAAAAAAATTCTATGCTTTTTGTTTTTAATACATTCACCTTTCACATTATTCACCGTCCCAAACTATTGGCTGTTTGAAAGATAAAAAAAAAAAAAAAAAAAGATAATTGTTGTTGTTATTGCAGAATGCAACAATTTTAATATTCCACTAGCTGAATATTTCATTACAAATTAAATTCCTGAAATTGACAAAATTTGGTAAATTGTTTGAGTGAAATTTTACGATAGAATCTTCTATCTTAAAAGAAAATACTTAAAAAAGAATCGTAAGAAATGAATGAAAGTAAATTCTAACTATCAATACAGAAAGAAATTTAGCTGAACCAATGATGTGAATGTGATAGTAACAGAAATTACAGGGATTCGATTCCCAATTAAACAGTAAAGTTATTTTTCACGAAGTAATAAATTCACAATTATTGCACAGCTCTTACAATTGGCGGAGAGTAAAATGAAGTGAACAAAAATGTTAACAGTAACTTTCACTGAGAAATGATAGAGAACGATTAATGTGATTAACAATGTCTCAGTTTAAATTCATTGTTCCCCCCCTCTCCTCTATTATGTGGAATTGATGGTGCCATGAAGAATTCAGAAGATAACATCGAAATACATTGATAACTTTTAATGTCAAAATGTCATGAAAGAAATGTAATCTCAGTAAACATTAATTAATTAATTAGTGTTAAGTGTATAAATCACATTAATTCCAAAAAAAAAAAAAAAAAATTGAAAATAAATATGTTGATTAACTGATAAAGAATTGTAACACATTCATTCAATATTCACTCATAATGACTACTCATTTCCTTTCTTATTTTCATCCATAAAAAGAAAAAATTATAAGAATTACGGATAATTTAAAGGTTCAGCAATTTAAAAGAAACAAATAAATTCGTTATCACATAGTTTGAAATAAATTCATTTAGCTCTTAAATTTTCCCATCATTTTATTTCACTGAAAAATGTATTTCTTAGTCTCTTTTTATTTGAAAAAAAAAAAAGTATAAAAAGATTGTTTGTTACAATTTGCTTAACTTCTTCCATTACCGATTAGCAGTAAAGAAATATTTGAGAAGAGGGCGCCAATGTTATTGTTTTGTACTTCTTTGAATAATATGGGTTAGAGGGACATAACAAACACAACAGATGGCGTAATAATGATCTAGAGAGAGAGAGAGAGAGAGAGAGAGAGAGAGAGAGAGAGAGAGAGAGAGAGTTATGGGTTCATTGGAATGTTGATGTCCCCATGTAACCTTTGCTCTCAGTTGAATTGGTGACGTTAATAGCAACACTAACGCTGTTGCTTTTTTTTTTTTTTTTTATCTTGAACTGTTTGCACAACATGTGAATTTCAATTTTAAATTTTGTATTTTCCTAACAACACTCATCAGCTAACCATCTATAGATTGTAATTTGTGATCAGATTTAGATCAGAAAAATGTTTAGTTAGATCAGTGTTTGCAATCATTAATTTATGTTTTTTTATTATCTTTGAAGGATTCAATTTTTATCAGTTTTTAAGAGCTATTCTGAATTAATTTAAAACTGTTTTACTTTTTTTTTTTTTTTTTTACCAAGTTCAGCTTTTCAATTAATCTATTACTTTGCAGAAACTTCTGCTTCCGCTTTTCTCTATTTCTTTCTATCGATTTCAAAATATTAAAACATGTGCTTTTATGAGGTATGGAGCACAATGGAACATTTTTAAGGACGAACAATGCCATCAGACTGGGTCAGTTGCATCATCATTCTTTTACTCATTTAATATTGTCATGGCCACAGATAATTTATGTGCCGGGAATCAGAGTATGAAATACTTCCGCGAAAATGAAAAATGCAAAACGAGAACTATAATAGAACAACCAGTTAGTTCACTTTCTTTTCCATCACCCTGTTTCTTATCGTCTTCAAACATTTACATTTACTTCCTTTTCGTATTCATTGTTCTTCAATCGATCACTGATTTATTGATTAGCAATGAAAACTGTAGAGAAGAATTTGAGACCATTTAGCTTCTTCTTTTCCGGATATAATTCATGCCGTTCATTTATCCTCTCATTTTGTTCATTTATCATCAGCACCAATTCTAATATGGACTCACTGACTGACTAAGCAATCCATCAATCAGTCCAACAATCGTTTGTTATGAGCATGTGTCAAATTCTCGTCAAACTTTTTCTAAATTTAAATATTTATCCATCCATTTCTCTAGTGACTTCATTAGTTTTCTCGCCTATTATTAACCTACCTGTGCTTCATTTCCAGAAAAAATTCCATCAAAGGAGGCTTGAAAATAAGACAAGTGGTGAATAATCAAAGGAAGAATAAAATCGGAAATGCGTGAAATCGATCTATTCAATTAGTTAACGATAGGTTGATCTACCGCTAAAAAATCATAAGCACTTGCAAATTTTACTTCAATCGTAAACTAAACATCAACCAAAATTTGCTTTATCACTAAATGACATTCGTTCCTTTACATTTGCTGTACTTCTGTGGGTCATTCTCCGGGACAAAAGTGCAGAATGGAACAGTTTTTCTCTCTTTTCACTTCATTCCCTATGATTCACTGTTTAAATTTCATCTATTTTTATTCATCCATTTCAGGGAAATGTAGCAAATCACTCAAATTCCAATCTTCTTGCGATACTTTCAGCATAATCAAAAGACAGTGTCATCAACTGTTACATCCGAAAAGCCTTTTTTTTGCAAGGCTATTGTAAGGCTAATACTTCTTTTAGCACAACTACTCACTCACTTTGACAGAATAACACATCAGCCTTTGATGATGTAATTGTATAGCAGAATTGTCTCGGAAATCTTATCACCTTCCAGAAGCAAATTTTCATGAATCGAAAACTAGCAAACGAGACAGATAAGAAGAAAGATGGACATGGAATACTTTGACGTAACATTGATTTACAATTTCGCCCTTACAACAACTATCCATTCTCTGCAAAAATTCATGCGAAGCTTGCAATGTAACCCCAGATGACCTCAGATAATGACTTATGACCCAGATGGATTGTACTCGCAGAATGACCTTGCTTGCGGATGAAGTTGGGATGACCAATCCACATTGATTATTCATTTGTTGCAGAAATTACTTCAGCCTATGTAATAGTCCGATGTCCAATAGGACTGTCCAGGAATGTCCTTTAGCTGTTATGCAGAATTCCAATACATGAATGAATGAGAGTCGAACGGAGAGGAAGTAGATATCGCCGGATGAAGACGCATGGCAGATGCGTATCCGTATCCGGAATATCAGGAAAGGACAGACGACGATTCATACTGTGGAACGCGAAAGACGCATGTCGGAACGGAGGCGGGGCAGTCTGGTAGTGGGTTCATTGCGCTGCACACATCCTATACACGTGCTCGATGAGCTCCACCGGACACATCACATCTCATTTTGGCACCATTCCATTCCACACATTGGCATTTCTCTGCGGTGCACTGTTTTATCAGACGTCGCGGAGTGTCATACGAAATAGAGACTATGTCTGCACGTATGACGTACGTAAGTCGACTCGCAAACAGAAGTGCACGCAACTTCTGCATGTTCACATGTCTCCTGGGCTAGTTTTCAAAATGAAATTTCTCAAATTGCCAATTACAGGAAACTTGGCCGGATGCCAGGGCGGGAGAGCCGGACAATGTCTGGAATGTATGTGTCTGCTTGTCTCTGTACCACAAGGATTAGATAGGGCGGAAAAATGTGAGGCGGAGGCTGTGCAGAGTACAGACAGACGGGCAGACATTGGGAAGGGACGGGGGCGGAAGCGGGGAAAGCGAACGGAGTGTCTGTGTGGGACGCTCTCTGGAATGATACTTCAGCCCGTTCAGATATGTCTGTCATCCCACTCGCTCGTTACTCTTTCTACTCTCTCTTTCCTGTGCTAAACTTACTGTTCTCGCTCGTATGTATCTCAACCAATTCCCCGCCCCGCCTAAAAATATGTGGCACGTCACGTCATTGTTGTTGTTGCTGTTACTGCTGTATGTTGAGTGTATTCGTCATTTCGTTAGGCAAAGAATTCTTCGTTTCCTATTTTACGTTTCCAACTGTACCTGTATTTTGCCTATCCAGTAACCCTTCCTTTACCTTTACCCAAAATTTACTGAGTACTGCTTTCCCCATTCATACCCCAACTTTTCCACGTTTCCTAGCTTATCATTACTTCTCAATGGGTATAATATTATCGCATGGACAGGTTTCTAGAAATTTATTTCCGTTTTTTTACAAAATGCTTCCGGAGTTTCTCTGACGGTGGATAGCTGTTCAAGCTGGCATTTCATTACTTAATTTCAGTTTCTCTGTGTCAGCTTATTGTTGAGGGAATATTTATCTGTGCAAAGTAAAACTAAAAAAAGTGCAACTTGTTCATTTATATAGGGCGGAAGGGATGATTTAAGCGGATAGAGTTGAATACTATTGTGATTTTGTTCAGTGATGAAAAGTGCAACTCATTCATTTATATAATTGTGTGTGTGTGGAATGCTACGGCACTACAGGAAATGCTTAATCTCTCATCGTATAACATATGAATGTTACGACAATGTGGTATTTCCTGATAATTCCTAATTGATATCTAATATTCTTGCAATATACCCGGAAATAAAGTGGAGACAGATAAGTGTAGTGGTGTTAAGCATGTCAGCTACACACACATATATCTTCCTGAACATCTCATATTCATTTCGGAATGTTTTTTCTTTCCGACCTTTTCTAGTAATTGCAGCATTTGCTACAATTACTAGAAAGGACTGTATGTAAATTTCCTATTCAGTTCGCTCTCTCCGTCACTTATTAATAGGTAAGAATTCAAGGAGATGTGAGTGTATCGTTAGCTTCTTCTTTTGCTCCTCCACACTTTAAGAAGTTGCAGAGGTTCGGGACAAGACAATAGCCTCCGTCCGACAGTAACTTCCGGCGAGAGAAAAAAAGACGGGCGGAAATGAGTATGAACTGCCTGTAAGGTGGTTGCTTCTTTATGCTCCTTAGGCTATGAACAGAAACCGCCTGACGCCATCCCTCCCTCGCCAGCTTCCGCCTGCTCGCCTCCTGTGGAAATACAACGTAGACTGGAGAGGAGGATAGGAGGCCTTGTTATGTTTCCGTACGGGGACAGCATGAGTGCGGCAATAGCAATCCCGGGTCCTCCTACAATAGAGGTGCATAGGGCTTGCAGTCAGGAGTAGTTCTTCTGCATTCCTCCCATTTCCTCTCTTTCTCTCCCACTGTTAAAAGTCTGGCTAGAACATTCCTAAAGGTTTTCTCGGGAAAAGGAAGTTTTGGGTAGATGCCAAGGGCTTTTCTTTCCACTTGTCTGTCTAGTAGAGAAGAAGAAAAAGAGCTGTAAGTACTGAGCACTGTCAAGTTATGTCCCATTTCGTACTCCCACTCCTCTTCCACCCACCCAGCCATCATCTACCTACCACTTCTCCCTCCGTCCGTCTCTATTCGCCCCCGCTGTACTCATTGTTGTTTGGGAGATTGATGTGTATGGATAGATATTATTAAGCAGATTTCTTATCCTTTCCACTTACTGATTATCACAAATACTGTTCATCATCTATTCATAAGTCTCTGTCATCCGCCTGTACTTTTCCCTCATTAGCGCTAATAAACTTTGTCTTTATACTGATAATCATACCCTTCCTTTGTAGTGAAGATAGACCTTTGATTTGGTTGTGATGCTTCCTCTTGTGCAGATATTTTTGTGCCAGAAGGAATATATTTCTTTACTAATATATTTACAAAGTCAATTGCCGCTATAAGGAGGTTAATTACAAGTATTTCTTTTGGTCAATAGCAATTTGATATATTTAGTGACAAGAGGAAGTTACCTGCTAGTGTTACTTCCGTTGTTCTTAATTTCCTTCTATTTCTTTCTGTAAAACTACCGATACGTCTCATGTTACGTAATTAAGTGATGAAACATATGTATGTCGACATTTTCAGATTATTAATTTATACTTTCATTTTCTGGGAGTGTAACATATTTGCAACTTAACATATTCGATACTTAGTAACTAAGCACGTTCAATTGAAATGTTGAAAAACGCTCGTAAATTAGTGCTTGACAATCGCGGTTCAACCACTACACCATCTTCATCGTCATGTGTTGATTTCAGACAAGGTATGTATTGCTACTTATGAATATCTTAGGTATATCTTACGTGTTATGTATTTGTATATATATATAATACAACGCGCTCATCAAGGAATGTTCCCGTCCGACTGGCTTAATTGCACTCAGTTGTTAATATGAGAAAAACAACTGTATGCAAGAACTGGATTGGATGGTAAGTGATCTGCAATTGACTGGTTTGCAGTATGATATGAGAAGTTTCGTAAGTGGAGATTAGGATGCAAGCTATCATCAAGAATAGCTTACACATTTTTTGACTTTGTGAGTCTCTTGCAGAGATCGGAAAGTGTCACTGTTTTCAAGGACATGATTATGCAAGCTTCAAAAAGCAGTACAAACTTGGACCAGAATTAGGACGCGGTGGCTTTGGAACTGTGTATTCTGGGTTTCGTGTAATTGATGGTTTGCCAGTGGCAGTGAAGTACGTATCAAGAAATAACGTAACTGGTTGGCAAAAGGTAGAAGTTTATGCATGTCTTTTTTTTTTTTTTGGAACAACCTAAGAAGGGTACTTTTTCTAACCAGTTTCAGTCGATGTTAAGGATGATTTGGGTTGTTATTTTTATGTGAAAAAGAAAGCTCTCTTATTAATGCATTTTACACTTTTTAGATTCCTAGCACCGATATGAAGTTACCTATGGAGATAGTCCTTCTAATGAAATGTACAAAAATACTGGGCGTAATTCAAATGTACGATTGGTTTGAGCGACCAGATGGATTCCTGATTGTGATGGAGCGACCGTCACCGTGTCAGGACTTGTTTGATTATATATCAGAGCACGGCGCATTAGATGAAAGAATTGCACGTAGTTTTTTCAAACAGGTGATTCATATACGAGCGATTGTTTATATTTTGGATTATTGTCACTTTTTTAGCAAATGATATTTGCTTTGTTTGAAGGTTGTGGATACTGTGAAAGCTTGTGAGGATGCGAATGTTGTCCATCGAGATATTAAAGATGAAAATTTGATTGTGAATTTAAAAACTGGACATTTGAAGTTGGTCGACTTCGGTTCTGGTGCATTTTATAAAACAAAGGATCAAAAATTTACCGATTTTGAAGGTAACTTTCTTTTCCACTTATTTAATCAACTGGATTAATGTTATATGCTTGGCATATATTGGGAATTTACATTTACAGGGACACGTGTGTATAGTCCGCCGGAATGGATTCTTCGCTCCGAGTATGATAGTTGCAAGGCAACTGTATGGTCACTAGGAATTTTGTTGTACGATATGGTTTGCGGAGACATTCCATTCCATCGTGACGAAGACATTGTTTGTCGAGGACCATTAGTTTGGCGACGACATGTTTCAAAATGTTCGTTTTTTTGTTAATACATTCTGGAAATTCTTATAGCATTTTTGATAATATCGGTGTAGCCGAATAAGAAGCGAAATATGTCAAGGAGTTCAATTTTAGGTTGCAAGAATCTGATTATGGAATGTTTAAAGTATGATGCGGACGAACGTTGTGATTTGGAATATATACGGCATCATCCCTGGTTGTCCGAAGGTGACACATCTCTTCCACTGTCTATATCGGAATTGAATTCAGGTCGCTATAAGTTAAGCAGCGTACCAGCAAAATTGGTGACACATGCAGAGCAACATCCAGCTTTGCGTTATGCCATACCAAATGCTGCTGCGAGTGAATCGCATTTAAGCGCTTTCATGTATTTTTCGTCGCAGAACGGTTCTGCAATTATTGCCAAAACATCGTCAATATCTATGGGAGGCCATAACCGGCACCATTCTCCTGGGTTCCGATCTTTTATTGATAATTATTCCGGAAATCTATCATTGTCATCAAGCTGTTCAAGTATAAGCTCAGGATATTGTACCACTTCCTCGCCACCAACAGGTTCGCTAATGTTGGGCAGTTATTGAGTTTCCTGTTTTATTGATATCAACAGAGAATTCTATTCTTCTGTATCTTTTTTTCTATATATAGTAGAGAAATATTCACTTTCATTTTGGCACATTATGTCCTATATGTTATCATTCTGAGTTATACTTATTGACCTAGTTCAATTTTTATTCATATGTTTTGTTATGCTTGTATCTGTGTATGTTATTTCTTGGACGCTATAACTATTGTTTTGTACAAATCATTATATACTTCTATCAATACTAGTAATACTCGCTATTCATTAAGTGTTTTCACGAGAAAGTGATCAGTATTGCCGCCTACTCTTCGGGAAAATTTTTAATAACTGGAAATCCCTGAGTGGTGACTGTTCTAAAGGAGGAAATAAGATGAATGATTAGAGAAATTATTCAGTGATTGGATTTGCGTTAGAATCCTGGTAGGTTGGTTTGTGTAAAGCTTGTTAAGTGTTAGCACTGGTGTTGATACAAAGAGGCAAGTTTGTGATTTCGAGATGTTTTGCATATTTCTCACTTTTACACCGTTTGCATGCAGTGAAAAATGGAAAATGAATAAACAATGAAAAAGTTATCAGCTTGTTGAGCACACGAAATTAAACGAAATTAGAAAAACTCGGACTATAGGCAAGGGATTTGTCCTATCTCAAAATCGGTAGAAATGTTTGCATCCTATTGAAAACGGTGTGTTGTGCACACAATTTATGTTAAGAGGTGTGACGTTCAACGAGGAATTAATTACAAGTGAAGGGTGGTTGTGTCGATTGGGATTAAACATGTGTTAGTAAAATACATTAAAAAGCTGATGGATCAAGGAGATTTTAGTTCTGGTTGAATGGTACACGAATGGTTTAGTTTGGGAAATAAAATCTATCACACAGTATATGATATTACACTTGGAGTGTTGCACCTTGAAAGATCTAGGTTGCATGCTGTATGCTTTCTTTAACTTGTTAACGTATCGCAAAAGAGTAGAGCAACACAAAGTATAGTTTCAAAAAACATGGAGCAATTTCAAGAAGACACTATTGTATAACTGTCAATCAGAACAGATGGCTTGATGGCTTGCCTTCCATCTAATAGTACTTTCAGAAAAGTCTGGTGAGTTCATTTCAAAGAGTCCATAAAACAGTTTTGATTGACATACAAACGAAGGAATAATTCTAATACCAAGATAGTACTTTGCTACGTGAATTGATAATTTTAAAAAAATAGTGTGTGCTGGAAATATAGCAAAAAAATTCAACATTGCTAGAAATTGTACGACTTTGATATAACGATAGATTTCGTGGAGCATTGTTCTGGGACTGCTTATATAGAAACTGCAAGACGGATTTCAATTACGAATAGTAGTAGAGAGAATAAAGTATTCCAAACAAGCAACTGTATTTATTTTCCCTGCTTGTTATTAATTAATCATCGGTAACAAGTATGACAGTCTCGTTGTTATCGTTACTGTCATTAGTATTAAGTAGTGTCATACTAATACAAAATGGTTGCAATTAATAGCGAATGATAAAGTATACTGACATTGTGTTCACCGAAAATGATTTTCTACAACTGAAATAACTGTGTAGAAAATGATGGCCATTTGAATGTCCCGCAAAATTGGTTGTGACCACAACAACGAGCGGAGTGATGTGCGACATGCTTATTTCGAGAGTAATTGCAGTGTGTTAGGACCTTCTCGAAGAAATGTCAACAGCAACTTCTGATTCCAAATGAATTTACTTCTGCAAGTTATAGTCCCGATGATAGAACTCTCTTCAGTTTCAATTACTCTGATTTTTGTGCATTTCTATTACCAACAGTATTCATATAATTAGCACAATCCCGATCTATCTGTTGGTTTTAAATTATTAGCTATTAGATGACGACATAGCCACAACAAGTGCCGTCTTACAGTATCATTCAATTAATAATATCCTTTATTCTCTCATATTAACTAGCCATAATAAAATTGCTTTTCTCTGTTTAAAAAATTCAGACAAATCCGTAAAATTCTAAAAAATTCAATCTTTGGTGTCAAAATAAGCGGTTGCTGTTGCGTTGTTTCGCTCCTTCCCACATTTTCTTTCCGATTTATATTTTCCTCTCCACAGATTTTCTGTTCGTACAGTTGAAAACAGTTGAGAAATAATATGATAAAAGCGTATACTATTAGAAATAAGCTAATGGAAATAGCAACATAAATCCATCTGCAATACACTTTTCAGAGTTAGTCGATCATTTCGAAATTTATTGAACCTCAAGTTTCATCGAATAATAAATTCAAATTTTTGTTTTACTTCAAATAAAAAGAAAAGAGGCATTCTAGATATTCGGAATTCCTTAAATTTTCTATTCAATCCGACTCGTTAGACGTGATTCATTTGCTTCGATAGAAACAAAAATTCAATCATACCGTATTGCGATTATTATGCTATCCTGAATGGAAGTGCACCGTACATGCATGGAAGCTAAGATAGGTTCTACTGATTTCGGTTGAGCTTTTGTCTTCTTCATTTCAATCGCTGTATCTTCGAGAATGATGCTCTGTGCTGTTATTTGTCTCTAGAAGCGCAAAAGGACAAAGACAAAAAGTGATATGGATGGACAACACGTTCGTTACATTTCCGCTCACTTACATGCGAACTTTTCGTAACGGAAAAGTTGTCTTATTGAATAACTCAATGTGATGTGATTAGTCAAACATTTTTGAACAGTTCTGCAGAATAGGAGTTCGATTTGTTGTTAGACTAGAAAGTCTTTAAGATTTTCATGATTTCAATTAACTGATGCAAATTCTAAATGTTCAAAACCATACTCACATTTAAATGGTCGATAATTTTTCAGTAATGACATCAGTGCTGTTTGAAGCTTTCATCTTACATCGATAGGCATTCACATTCCATCTTCTATTATTCACTACATCAAATTATCATTACTTAAACTGCTGATTAAGTGTCATCAGTCAGTGCACTTATTTCACTGCACAAAGGAACTGCTCGAACTAATCGACAGCTTCACTCCATTAATTCAACCTTACCAATGAGTGTTCCACAGGTAAATCGGAGATCGCTTGAGTCAACAATTTGCACTGCGTCCTAGTCGTAAAAGTGCGGTGCTAGAGATGCGGGTGTATTGGTTTTGTCGACAGATGTAGTTGTGTTGTGAGGTGCAGATTTTCAGTGTGGTTACTTATAAAGTGGGAAGAATGTTTGTTTGTATAAAATAGAATATATATAAAATAGAAAGAAGTTGTAAGTATGTGTTGGCCAATAATTCAATTTCGAACGGAGACAGTTTTGAACGCATATCTCTGATAGTTATTGTAGAAGCATATGAGAGTGATCGGGAATTTTTCGGTTGCAACCGGTTGTTGCAGTCAAAGATTCAAAAGAACTGATATTCAAAATCTAATCCATTTGTTGTGAATTTATATTTGCATTGAACACTTCTACCATAAAGTATTTGAGGATATCATTTGGGAAGTTGATGATATATATGTTTTCTCTGTATTCAGATATCATCAATTTGAAGCGTTTGGGATAGATCTTTGCAGAGGAGAATCATCCTGAAAGACTGGTATATGTTGAAATTTCATTTCTGGTCACGCCGCTTTGTTGCGGCAGTATCGGCGGTACCTTCCTCAATCAGTTTACATTATATTCGATTTTTGAATGCTTTCATTCGGACAGGTTTAGGAACAGTAAGCAAATTTGCTGGATTTGTTTTGTCTTTTTGCTCATGTTTTCGTATTTTCGTAAGCCATTAAAATCGTCAAGGAAATAAGCATGGAATGAACAGTCTGGCAATTAATACTGACACTTTTAAATGATTAAGATTAGGTTTAGACTCACTTAATCATCACAGTCTTGATTAGTAATATATTTTAGGGTTTGTACTGTCTCGTTCATTTCTTATTGATAATAATTGTTGGATGCGAATATCTCATCCTGTTCCCATACGAACAACAAGTACGTCCATCATTTCGCATCCCTCTCTATTATGCTGTCGGTGCATATCTAATTGTTTGCATTCTCTTTCATTATCAAAAAGCTTGCTCAGTGGACCCTGGGCGACCAGAATGTGTTAGTCATTTGTCGTTTCCAGAACAAACTTTCTAAATATTCCTCGTATTTTATGGATTAAAATATAGTTGTATTCTCCTTTTTTCTAAATTAGTAATTACAACATTTACAGTCTGATGCGGAACCGTTGTGCATTTCTTGTGGATACCATAAACCGGAAGGAACACACCATTGTTCACTGTGTGGTCGTTGTGTGTTGTATATGGATCATCATTGTGTATGGATCAATCAATGTGTGGGCCTTAATAATCATCGCTATTTCTTACAATTCGTTATCTATGTGTGGTTTTCACAGTGTTTCATACTCACTGCAAATTATGCCGCGTTTTGGGAACACTTCTATTCTGTTAATGTTTGTTTCTTACCATTCTACAGTTCTATGTTTTTAACCTGGTATTTCAAAAAATTATTCAAAGTAGCAAATAGCAGAGTTATAGCATCTCATCATGGCTTAACTGGTTGCTACGCATCGTGTATTGCGAACTTTTTCCAACTCCCGAAAAAGTCCGCTATTTGTATATGTATAGTTATTCCAGTTATTTATGGTAACTTTCTATTTTCACCATTTTCATATGAATTATGGGTTCATGCTCAAATTAGTATGTTTTCTTGGGAAGACACACACATATATATATATGTAGCGTGCTGAAGTGCAATTTGTACAGAGGAAGTTTTATTTATTCCAGAAGATTTCGACGTCATTAAACGTTGTCCTCATTAACCTGCCGTATCTTTGTTAGCATCTTGAACAGCGATGGAACCTGACGTTTAACATTGAGATGGTCTGGAAGAAGTAAACTTACTGTTTGGACTTGGAAACTGTTTTAAGCAAATATTGGGCTTTGCAGCGCTTATCAGCTGTGCCATATTGTGCTCAGCATTTATCACTGGCGCCGTGGCGTGGTCTGCTTTGTTCACTAATACCAAATCTTCTGATCAGTTATATTTGTTTTGTTTATGGATTGGCAGCGCTTTTATCCATCATTCTTGGAATGTTCGCAGCATGGAACATGTATTTAATCTCAATTGGCGAAACATTCATCGATTACTTGGCTGGTTTTCATACACTTAATGCCATTTCTTAAATGATAAATTCATTTTGAGGTTTAAACCATGTGTGAATTTATTGAAAATTTCAGTAGTGGTTTTAGAGCAATATTTGAGCATAAAATAACTTTACCGATATGGGGACTTTGTACCGAAGTGTTCCGAAACTTTAGTGTTTAAAAAATTTTTCCCGAACTTCGGTCAATTTATGCACCATTATCTGGTTACTGATATACATCTTTGCATATTACAAATGAAGCTGTTTATAGCTGCTAAGATTATAAAAAATTCAATCTTAACAATACCACATTTATGCTATTTTTTATCACTTACATGATATATATCTTTCCATACTTAGGTCTGCTTAACCACTATCAGTTAACATAGTTATTTAATCCAGATACGGTTAATTAACTCTTTTTTTTCATTTTCATTTGTACTTGAGAAAACTATACAATTTGTGAAACGTGGTGGATGCAAGAGATGGAAAAAAATCTATAAGTTGGAATTCTTTAAAACTACGTTAGATTGATGTACGCTTCAAGTTTGAAGTGTATTCGTTGTTCTCCTATTAACGAGTTGAACACCGAGGGCACTTAAAGATTCAAGGCAAAAAAGTCGTAAGCTATTACGTTCCACTTCATTTATGATGAGCGGTTAGGATTTTCTTCTGGCGGGTCGGTATGCCTCGCTTCAGTGCGAACTTTTAAAAGAACTTGCATGCATTGCAATCGTTTTCAAACTTCTTTTGCTTTTTTTCTGTTCAAAGTCTTAACTGTTTAGCAACATCGTGATTACCGACGGAAACAGCACAGATGGCGTTCACCAAACGATCTCGGATTCGTGGAGAACTGGCGTTGTTTCTTGGGATTGAAGCAAGGTCGCAGTTTCATACGGCACATTCTGTTACCGTCCTCTCATTATCCCATTGACAGACGTCTCATATGTAAAAATGATGTTCTCCCTTTCGTCGTATAAATGAATCGTTAGTTTCTCATTCTATGTTTTATTTTATAGTGTTATCTTACGCTTTTTAAGTGAAGTTTCATTTATCCATTTGCTTGAAAATTTCGCTTTACTATGGCAGTATCCATTGATTTTTGCTTATTCCACTATTAATTCCCTTAATTCCGTTTCAAGTGTTGGATTGGTATACTTTTGCATACTGGCTGTTAACTTGGCCTGATATGAAAACAAGTTCTCATTATGTTTGATTCACAGTTTTACGCCATGTGATTCTCTTTGCTTCACTATTGTAAGCGGTCCAATCCACGATAATTTGCTATTTTTGAGGCTACAAGATAAATATTGAAGAATGATGGAAAGCTTGAGAAGGGATGAGATATTGATAAGACAGCATACTTTGCCCACTTTAGTGATCATGAACCTGACAGATAGTAGTAGCCGCTTTAAATATGAAATAACAAGGAAACAAAACTGATAAATATTTTGTACAAAAGAGGCACTAAATGTATAACTTCATAACTAATTTCTGTTAATTGTTGACATTTCATTTTTGTTCCAGAATTCGTCAAGGCTAATGGCGGATGTATGATCTAGAACAGATACGCGTGGACGTTCAAACAGTTCACCGCGTCGTATTTTGAGTAGTGCTTCTTCCCTCGTTGTGCTGCCCATTGTATTTTCCCGTAAGCCAAATGGTAGGTTTTGTTTGCTTCGACTAGGTACCGAGAGGCGTTCTTCACTCGTTTGACGGGCATTAAAACATGGCTCAATCGTCAGAACTGTTGGTTCAATTCGTTGCAGGTTCAGTTGCCGTGCCGAGTGCGAGTTTTGATTCGGAGTATTTTGTTCTATTGTTTGTCTGTAATTATATTACTGTTAATTTTTTTATATTAGATTTTACCTTTACTCATGTAAATTGCTACTAAATAGTTTGTTTTAAGTTTTGCTTATTTCCATTCTTGACCTGCTGTATGTTTATTTTCAATATGAATTGTTCGTTTTGAATCTGATGGTATGAGAATATAATCTGTTTACAGCGAAAAAGATAAATAATCCAATAATTTTCTGACAGCTAACCTTGATGAACCTCCATCTAAGACTGCATTGAAAGCATTTTCAGTTACTGTAGTCATTCTTGCATCACTATTAGCACCATCAATTCTTTGGACCTCGGAGCTTTCAATATGTGATACTGTAGTGGATGTTGCAGCTCTCTGCACATCGATTCCCGCAACCAGGCGCTGGTTTACATCGGAACTTCCAATACGTGACAGTGCATGTTGCTTTCTACACTTCCGATAACATAAATAAAGTAAGATAAGCATCAGCAGAATAAGCAGAATAATAAACAACCAGACAGTGAAATTGATTGGAGACTTTGCGACGCTGCTACGCATCATTTCTTGTTGTGGAAGATACGGTATCGTGTTACCATCTGAAAATATTTCCTTTGGATCAGTTTGTCCTTGGATCGTTTACTATTGAACAGTGCCAAGTGTCAAATATTACCTTGGTGACGCTTGCATATATATTCATGAAGATTTCTGCAGTCATCCATAGCCAAAATATATCCGTTCCTGTTTCGCCAGTCAATATAGGCACAGTTTTGTCCAGGGGAACTTCCAGTGAGTTTCGGTAAGCTGAAACTATGAGATAATTGTATAATATGTACTGCAGGTTTTTGTTCTGCATTTTTCTATTCTGTAACATTAAAGCAAAATACTCATCATAGTTAGTAGCTCGATAAAGTAATTTCTGTTTGATACAGTATGACAGATTAATATTGATTTTGCCTAAATTTATCACTTAATTTCAGTGCAGTATTTTACTGCTGGTTGTAATATGTACAGCTCTTTCCATTAAATGCATTTTGACTCGTTGATGTCTCCAAACATCTATTTGTATGACAGGTTGATGTCTACAAGTGCTAATATTAGAATAGTACCGGATGTACTGCAGTTAAAAATTTTTTGTTTTGTTTTCAATGTTGAATAAATGACCATCTACGAACTCTTCTGGCCAAGGTCCGGAGTTTGGATCCACGGGCATAAATTTTCCTTCACTGCTATAATCTTCCATGTAACCAATCCATGGTAGTGTTTTGCTTTTTTTGTAAATTGCTGAAATATGTCAATTTCACCTTTCAGGCTAATGAACTTAGGTAATTTATTCCTGGTCCATTTAGTAGAAATACGGAATTAGGCATCTGGTTACCTGCAACAACAGAATACTCGATGGCAGAAGTCAACGTGAGTAGGTTGCTGCGTACCAAATTACATTCCTTCTGCGCTTCTAACCACGTTAAACCGTGAACTGGCCTCTTTAATGTATAACAGTAACCTACCGAACTGAAAATCCAGCTCGGTGGACATCCTGGTATATCTGAAAGTTAGACGGAAGATATCATTTCTGTTAGTTTTCCTATAGCCTGAGGACTAGTTTTGTCAGCTCTATATGTGTACAGGATAATAGATATTTCAAAATATCTTTACGTAGTGCGACCATTCTTGGTAATTTGCCGTTATTTTTATAGAATCACAAATTTAGATAGAAGTAATGGCATTTGTTAATTTTCTCAGGGGAATTTGACAATTTGGCAGAGGAATTATACATGAAGAATGCAGAAATTGATATTCATTGAAAATCATGGATGATAAGAAACTTACGATTTTTGCACAATGTTCCATCAACTTTCGCTAAATGCTAGATAATTTTTCAGACATAATTATAACGTTAAAATAGACCCTTTTTTTTTATTGTTCTTGTTTGTGGGTAAAGTTATAAACAACAATGTAACCTTATACGACAAACATACCACATACATGTCGTAGCTTAAAAAAAAAAAAAAACAAAATACCAAATTCAATGAAGGACATGTTAATGCCTTTCCCTTGAAATGCTTCATCGCTGTGAAAATACACATAAAGTGAATCGGTAGTACTAATAACCGCATTCGGATGCTTATCACCACACCAACGTACTACTTCTGGTGATTTAGATGTATCACCTGAAAAGAGAGGGCAATGAACATTTTCTTTGTTTGTCATTGAAACTTTACGGTTCTACTAAAAAAAAAAAAAGCTTGCCATCATGGATGGAGCAATAGTCATCACATTCTGAGAACAGGGCATCATCAATGTCGGAATCATGGACAGTTAGCATTATTCTTTTCCTGCTACTGCTACCCATCAGGATCCAGCTGCATCTCATGTTATTTGCATAGCGACCGGTTTCATATCCAATTGTGTGAAAATAGACTTGCTGAGCATTAGACTTCGCTTGTAGTATTATCGGCTCTGCTACAATACTATTAACATTCGGAAGATGAAACTTGAAAAGTCGCATGCAAAAGAAGGAAACTAAAGTTATTCGGAAAATTGAGTCCAAAAGGATAGAAAATAAAATAAGGAACGACTAAGGGACGACTAAAATGCTAATCGAAATCTTATGAACAAACAGTAAAATGATATTGGCCACATATTTCAGGGTACCACATCAACTGGTCATTAAACAGACAAAATTTCATTATTATTGTTACTGCTCCCTATCATTTTCAAAAACGATTTTAACAAAAAAGACAAAATAGAAAATAAATATTACCAGGACATGCTTGTGCATGCACAGCCATTGTATCGTCGAAATTTCGTATTACAATGTAAAAAACCATATTAAGAATAAAACAACTCTTTCCAAGATAGATGGACCGTAATGCTAATTTGGAATAATGAAAGAGAAGTAGCAATGAAAAGTGTTGGATATATTCAATTAACCTGGTAATGAACGACATCAGGAAGCCTACCATGCACATTGTGATCAGTGCAGCTTGGTAACAATTTGAGTAATACGAAATGGTATGAATTATAGCTGGAAAAAAGAATTTCCACCTTCCAATTAACCACATTGATCACAAGTGAACCACCGATGACTGAGGATAGGTTGATGATGATGGTGGTGGTGCTGGTGGTGGTAGTGAATTTACTCCAAAAAGCTCAGCCAGTAATCACTTTATTACTACTCAAGCTTCCTAATCCTGTTGAAAATGCGTCCTTTTGCATCCATAGCAACCACACCAACAGTTTAGTTTATCAGTTAACCAAAGGCAATTATGTAGCATCGACATCAGCGCCTCAATATTTCGTCGTGAGCATATTTGGAGGTAGTGAATGGGGCAGTCTACTCCATTATTTGCAGTCCGAAAAGTAAAGTAAGTCATCCTATCAAAATTTGCGCATATGCAAAATAGACTGCAGTGAAATGTGAAATGACTGCATCTTTCATCTTTCTCTTCCCATCTTATTATCCTGAAGAAAGATGAAAAGATCATTTCTTCGTGTCACATATTTGTAGCTAACCACTTGCCATTTGCATAATATTCAGAAGTCTGACTCTAACATTTAGCATCTTTCGAACCACCCGTTGCTGCTGTGCAGTTTCTGATTTAAGATCAATCAGAAGCTAATTTGCATTACTTTCTGAATGCCATCTATTGTGTGTTTGCATCTGTCCAAGCATGTACAGTACTTGCCAAATATCAACTTCCGGTCATCGCAGGACAGCAAGAATTGACTGATTTGTTGAACTTCTTTTTATATTATCCTGAAGAAAAATGAAACTAACTTGTGCCTTTTTCTGGACAGTATATATCTATCAAATAAGATGCATCATTTTCTCCAAAATGTCAAGTTCAGCTAAACTAGTGCTGTCGAAAAAACTAAATTATAATATGTCAAAAATAATTTTGTATCACACCTATAAAATTAAAGGTTGTCTTATTTGAATATTCCTTAGACAAATATAAACTTGTTTTAATTTTCTATCTCATATGAGCAATCATTTAGTCAACACTTATATTCTTGCAATTGTAACTAATCTTATCTTAATTCATCCTATCAGATCGTAGATAACATCTCTGCAAAATTATCAGCATTATCAATATAAATTAATAATACTTTGTTTAATATATTGTAGAAATAAAAATTTATTTCAACAAACTCCATTACACAACACATTCATCTGTACAAACTCCTCCAAACTGCAACCAAGAAAACAACCCAAGTAAATCCTAGCAAGTTCACGACAAGTACTACTCTAACGAGGTATACGATTTGTCTTTTTAAATGGAAATTTGGAACCTATTCCATGCTCTTTGCTTGCAGTTTACAGTTCTCAATTTTTGGTCGCTGAAACGTATTTCAAAGTATTATGTAACTTGTGATCTCTCTCCTGCTTCTTCCTAATCTGAGAGCAAGTAATAGAAGGAAGAAGAAAAAAAAATATAATAGTGTACCAGAAAATATCCTCTCCAGTGTACCACGAATAGTGGACAAAAAAGTGTTCAGAACAAAGAGGCAATAAAATTGATATCAATATTCCTGATGGAACACTTCAAACAGGAACAGGAATAAAATAAGAATAGACAGCCCAAATTCCGGATGGATCAGAGCTACTGGAGATTACGGGAAATGCTTATGTAGAGAAGAGTGAACATACATGTAGAACTTACGGCAAACAACGTAGGTACGTGTATTCCGAACGTAGGGTAACGTAATAGTATGCTAAGTACAATGTTATGTTGATTCAATGAATGGTAAATTGCATTTGTCCATCCCATCTATCTGTCTTGAAAATTATGCATAATTCTGTTCCAAATCTTACCAAGTGCAAGAGTTGCATGCATTTTAGCATGTATTCACAGCATTCACTTCACAAAATTGGACCGAACGTGAACAGCTACTGATAACATCCTTCCGTGAATTTCACGATAACAAAAGTTACACCAACTGATAATAGATGTCAACACTGGGACATAAGTTTCACATGATGCTGCACTCGGTTTACTGCGCCTCAATTTTATCAGAAGGACTGGGGTTAGATTAGTTCCTTTCATCGTTGGGGTTAATTCCTACCTTATCAGTTATGTTCGTCGCTGTTCTTATCATCCTTATCTATTTGTTCCTCTTATTTAAATTGAAACTTTAAAAATGTCAATTCTCTGTTTTTTTTTTCTTTTTTTTACCACAAGTACTCTACTTGCATGCAGAAATTAAACGCACTTTTTGCATCAGAGGTTTTTGTACGAAAACTTTGTTTTCTTCTATGTTTCTTTTCGTTCACAATTAAGAGTGGCTGAGTTTTTTTTTTTTTTTTGTTTTCAAAATTTTATGCTTATATGAATTGTTTGTCTTCCATTCATTATGATGTTGCATTTCAGAATAATAAAATCGATGCAAGTGAAATTGATATGAAATATTGGTGTCAACTTTTACTTTTCGCAGCGTCCTGTATGCTTTTTTTTTTTTTTTTTGATTTTACTGTCATGGAAGTTGAAATTTCCTTTCGAACAGAGAAATTCTTGTCTCCATTTCAAACGAAGAAAACTCATATATATTGTAAGCAAAAGGGGAAGAGGTTCAATGTACCATTTATGGATTAGCGAAAGGTGAACATGGTGGTAAGGTTAGGTGTTGATATTGGATGTTTTAACTAGGAATATGACTGGAGAGAAATTCATTCAGTGAAAATCAGTTGTGGTGAACGACTATCGGATCAGATCTATCTAGATTTGATTGGTGGAAGGTACAGCTGCTTTCGATTGTTGAATGGAACACATGAAATTGGATGTGGTTGTAAGTACTTGTATTGTTTAAAAGGAGGTAGACGTTGCAAGAAATGATCAGAGTAATTACATATGGAACTCTGTATTTGGTATCGTTTCAGCTGCAGAGGAAGGAAACGAAGGTGTTGTCGTTTATGCAAATAATGCTGATGAGTTAATCAACCTTATAGCAGGTCTTGATTCTGAAGATCGCATTATCACAGCTTTCGATATATTTCTTTTAAATGAGTAAGTTTCAGGCTTTTAAATGAGTAAGCTTAGTTTCTGTTTTTTTTTTTTTTTTTTTTTACGAATAATACTTTTAAATAGGATGCATACTGTTGCTGCTGCAGGGAAATAATCAGAGTATTGAAGGACGATAAAGTACGTGGTGTGCTTCTTTTACGCAATGAGTCTTCTATCAGCGACGTGAAACGACTTGATGTCGGATTTTCGGAAGATGCCGTTTGCCCTAACGAACAATTTGGTACAACTTTTTGTTGTTTCGTATTTCCCGCCAGGTCTATAATTTATGGTCAGATGAAGTAACAACTGAGTAATAGTTAAGCTCTTGATAATTTTTCTATAGAACTGAATGAGCTCCACATTTTTCAGATATTAGTGGGAAATGTGAAAATCGCTGGAATGAACACGGTGCACTGTTGCCGGAAGGTTTTCGATTCATCAATTGGAAGAAACCAATTTTTGTTATTGAAAATTACACTGAAATTGACATCATCAGAAATTTCGTCAGTCGGTTTGCTATGCTGTATATTTACCATTTCTTCTGAAAACAGCTGAAATATGATTGAGTCATACGTTCATAGATCTCATGAATCTCAATATCTCTTCTACATCAATCAACCAAAAAGTATTTATTGCAGTGTTATGAAGCATTCAACAAGAGGAATTTGAGAGAAGATGTACTTTGTTCGGCTCGCATGAAGCATTTCATGCGAGCAGCGGGAAATGCTCAAATATGTCTCCAACGCCAGAGGCTGTTTTACGGCTTTTCAGATTCATTGTTAGTATTCGGAAAAGTATTTTGATTTTGTTGCTTGGGCTTATACATTTCGCATTACTTGGTTTCAGGATCTCTTTATGTGACCCATTGGCAGACAAAAATTTGTTTGCAACAATTCCAGCACTTACGAAAAAGTTCAAGCCGAAAATCTTGATTCTCTCCGCCAGAGTATACTTTCTCATATTTGTTTTCTTTCGTTTTATTTGATGAATCTCAAAAGATGGGATGACTACAAAGGCAGTGTTTGACGATGTTGTAGATGGATTCCTTCAGTTCGTTCACAGAAGCAGCTGTTGGTGAGGTGTCTGTTCTCACATCACTCGTTAGTCTTCTAGCGGTTGCTAAAACGATTGCAAATCATTCCACTGAATTTGAAGCTGTAGCACAACGCAATGGGAGGGCCGTCATGTTTGCATTTTTTCACGGAGTATGTTCTTGAATTTATAACTAGGAAACCAAATAAAACAACTTACTTTAATGCCTGATAACATAAGTGTTATATAATAGAAATCAGGCAATAAGAAGGCACGGATGGTTGAACCATCTCGTACCTGCTCAACAATAGCTTTGATCTTTTGTTGCTTGAGTGTAGTAATGAAGCATTACTATTTTTTGAATTTAACTAGTATAATATTAGTTATGGTCATGTTAGTGTAACTAAAATTCTGCCATTTGTTAGTATAGTCATATCAGTATATTTTTGTCATAGAATGCAAGAGATTTTAATGCAAATAAATGATTTCAGGAATCGCTGGGTTATATCGGAAGTAGTGCCACAGTAAATGACATCATAAAAGGCGAATTTCCTCTAGATATCCGGTTAACAGATATCGATAGCTTTATTGAGGTGACTATAAAGATTATGAACATGACAGCAGAACTGTTGTAATAAGGTTGACTAACAGGCCATTATTATACATGCACAGCTAATTCAACAAGCAGTAATAGGCCAAAAAAGTCTAGCATTAAAGTTTACCTTACGTTGTATTACTTTCACTTATGATTATTTTGCAGGTGCAGCAGCTTGATGGTTCAGAACCAATGTTTTCTGCTCACATCGATTCAAAGGCTTACGATACTCCTGAAAACAAACTGAAAGTGTGTGGAACAGCAAATTCATAGAGAAATATGTTTTATTCCCATCTCGGATGGGGCTAAAATCCATTTTCTCATGCTATTCCACATCCAGTAAATAGGATCCGATTAGGTTGTCCTAAGTTAAGCGATGACTTTGTGGTATATATATTTTTTAAATGTTAGTTGGGTTGCGTAATTATGAGAATTATGTAGTCCTTCATTTTCATTTTGTTAGATGGATGTTACTCTAATCATTTCAGGTGCAAACTTTGCTAGACGCAGCTAAATCGTCCTTCAAGCAAAGTAAAATAAATATCGAGAGGAGGACTGGATTACCACCGTCTTCTTATCAGTCATTTTTGAAGGGAAAACGTGACATAGCTGGTTTTGTTCTTCGGCCGTTTAGTCAACAATATATTTATAAGTTAGTTAAAGGAATTGTTCAGCTGTGATAGCCTAATAAAAATGTGCACTTGCGAAAAATAAAAATTATTTATTAATATAGTTAGTAACTTATATTGTCGATCTAAAACTGAATAAAAAAAAAAAAAAAAACTAACTATCAGTAATCGTTATTTTCAGCCGGTTAAATTCATTGGAGGATCAAAATGTGTTCAAAAATGGAATTACCAAACTACAAACTCAAGTTGTTGCTGCTGCAAGTGTTGTTATGAGGGCTGTAGCACGATTTCTCACTGGTGGTAATGAAACAGAACCTGATTTATTCAATCAATATGATATAGATGAACTATATGTAAGCAAAGATTACTTATCAGATTTATTCAATTACTTCTATATAGCACATCATAGCACTTTTAACGAATATTTGATTATAGGTAGCTGTTCTTCTGAATTGCTTCTTGAAATATTCTGATTGGCATACGTGTAACTTTTTCAAAAGTATCACAAAAGGCGACAGTCGGTTTGAACATCATTGTTAGTTCAAGCCAATCTTTTTTGTAGTTTTTGCTTCCATTACGACTTCATCTTTTATATAATAGTTGTTTACAGATGTAAACTCAGTTGGAAAATTACCATTTTGTTGGCTTGGCTAAATTCTCCAATCTTTTTGAATTTCAATCATTTGCAAACTTTACAGCAAAAGAAACGTACATATCGGTAGGAAGGGACAATTACTCATTAATTCGCACTCTGATGACTATGTTAATTGTTAATGTTCTTGGATCCAAGAATGCTGTTAATGTCCCCAGTCGTGCTCAATGTGAGGATTTAAATAAACACGACAAGGTTAGCAGAATGATTGTGTTATACAATTATTATTTTTTTTTTTCGTAAATCCTTACAAATTAAAAGACTATGCTTATGTTCACTTACCATTTTACAGTTTTTTTTTTTTCTTTTTTTTTTGAGAAACACTCAAATGAAGCGTTTAATATGAAATGTAAATAATGGGATATTATGTTGTAACATACGAACATCATTTGAACTTCACAGCTATATGCACAAAATTATTATAAGGCATAACTGGTGAACAAACATTTTTTGCATCCAGATCTATCCATTCATTATTCCTCTCCTCATTTACAAAATTATGACAAAAATTTATTGGAGGCAGTTGACTCTTTTTGAGCAGTTTTTTTTTTCTCTCTCTGTTGCAGATTTATCATTACACTTGGCAGTATGATCCAGAAGATGAAAAATTTATATGCTATCGTAATTTGCTATATACAACAGCTGCGGAATCTCCGGCTTTCAAATTAGACGGTATATTTCTTATAAAATTTTTCTATCTCGATAAGACATAAGTTCCTGCAGATAGGTTTTCATCTCTAGTTTATTTCATGCTATCTGCAGCTGAAATTCACTCATAGTTTATTGATGTTTTATCTCTTTTAAGCTTTGCAATTTAAAGTCTTTCTATATATAAAAATTGGATGCATAAAGCCACTTGAAGTTTTTGCAGTTTGGTATGACCGGGAGTTTTCAGGTTACAATATGCATTCAGGAGTTTATTCAACTTGGGTGGAAAGTGTTTGGACCACGAAACAACTGGAACTTTTCTTAACCATACATCCATGTTTAACACATGATATTACTGTGTTTTTATACGGTTTGATTTTTTTCATCATTTCACTGTTCGTAATGGAACTGATTTATTTGGGAAACAAAGAAGCCATCTAACCAAGAGCATCTATGCTCGACTGCCCGTTCCATAGTCTGATGAGCTGTATTTTCTTACGCTATTTTAGTTAAACATAATTTTTGAATTTTTCCCGGAGAATTTCTTCCATCACTTTTATATCTATAATTTTTGTTGTCTTTAAATGAGCGTACATATCGGAATAATTCATTTCATTCTGTTTATGATATATATTGTTTTCGTCAATCCTTGATCCCAAGCATTGTATAGAAGTTTTCTAACTTATTGTTGTTCTAGTGTGAGTAATCTTGTACAGTGAATGTTTCTCGATTGCTATTACAAGTTAGTGATGACTTAAAGTAGATTCTCTATTGTAGTTAATCACTTGGCATTTCAAAGCTTTTCCATTGTGTTGCATAAGGCAATATTTTGAACATTTATAAAATTTCTTGCCGCTATTAATTTTGTGCATACTTGCACATTTTCATTTTTATCTATTTAAATCGATGCACAGCTAAACAACATCCTTAAACTTTGTGATGATCTACCAGATACAGGATGATCCGACTAATGAGGAACACTACTACTCGTTATTGATGAGAATGTGAGAGTAGTATTATGCAGTCTGAAGTGTCCGCTGAAAATATATAGTGATTGTCGACTTTACAATTTTAACCGAAAGGTTGTTAAAGCGGTAAAGGTAGGATAAACAAAACATTCAGTTTATGCGAAAAGGAAACATAAGCAAATAACCATAATAATGAGGGCGATAAGGCAGACAGTGGCTTTGACGATCACAGACGGACCTTCATTTCCAATGAACATCGACTGAGATATTTCCTTCGCATCATTCTTTGGCGGGCTTGTCTAAATTCTTTACTCGTTACACTTGCAAATTGGAGAAAGCTATAAGGTACCACAGGTCACGGGATGTCACCATTAATGTAACTTCCAGAGTGGAGGTAGACAAAGCCTAAGCATAATGCCAGTATGCAAAATGTGCAAAATGATAGTGGTATATGTATACGGAGGTTTTTTACGGAAGTTTATGGAAATCCAAGAAAAAAAAAAGAATCCTAATTAGCAACAGGGAATAACCGTTTCGGAGTCAAATAATTGTTGTGGTCGTTGAAGTAAGATGTATTCCATCCTTTCGGATGGTCGACATCTGCAAAAAGAGCTATTGAAAATTTCTGAAATTGAGAAATTTGATTGAAACAAACGAGAGATGACAGCCAAATATTTAAATCAGAAAATGCTAACATAAGAGTTTAAATTTTTAGTGAAAATTCATTGGCTATTGTGCCAAATATTTAAGGCCAAAATTGAATCAGATTCACTTTTCAAAGATGCCTTCTCACTAAAAACTAACCGTGAACGTGGCTCGTAATCATAGTGAACAATTGGTATACTAACTGGTTGACCCGTTACACCTTCCACATCTTTCCTTTCACCATTAAAAATATGCATTTCCAACCTTTCACTTCCATTTGCCAATTTCATTGTCTTTGTTTATCTAAAAAAATTTAATTCACGTAATCAAGATAGCATATGATGGTGACAAATCGACAACGTAGTGAGTTTTGCGATGATACCAAATAATGTAGGCACTATATATTTCATAAAATTCTTGTTCTATCTTGTGTCATCTAACACAATGTAATAACACCAAAGAAGAATTGCTAGCACAATATTCTCGATCGTTGATTCAGCTCACGACAGCTTTCCGGATATTGTCATCTGCCGAAACATGATTTGAGCGTTTTCGATCGACAAAGTTTTACCGACCCCATTCGAATTTCCCTGCTCTCTCTCGTGCATGCTGTGTATATATACATATATATATGCATGTCTATCTGTATATAAATATGTGTGTCTATGTATGTGTGTGTGATGGTGGTATTATTGTCACCTGCTCGATGAGCAGTTCGGTTTAATTCATTGTGCGCTATCAGTAGATCGTCGTATTAAATAAGAAGAGAAACTTCGATCTTAACGAATGATGTTTGGAAATGGAGTAAGAGGTAAGTTGAAAGGTTAAGATGGCTGTGCAAGATCAATGAAGCATTGACCGATACCTATAAGACGATAAGATCGCCATTTCGAGCAATTTCAACTTGAGATTGCTCAAGTTGAAACTTTCATTATTGCTCATTTTCACTCCACGAAGAAGAAGCGCAAAAAAACCTTCTGGTTATTGTTGATGAGATACCGATGCACCGATAAAATGCACGAAATATGGGTATCATTTATATATAACTTTTACTCTCACAAGTTATCCTTGAACAAGTAATAGCAGCATACTACTAGCACTTTCTACAGCTTGGCCATCATTAAAGTATCGAGAAAAGTAAACACTTGTGGAAAATCTGTTAAGTTTCCCGAAAACCACATAACATTCATTATTTCTTTACAAATATCCTACAGATTTACCTGCAGCAACTGAGGTTACTAATTAGTCTAGATAAAGTTGAAATTGTGAAAATGGAAAAGCTTGTGGAAACTGATTCTGAACATTTTTTTTTTTATTTCACCACTGCTCTTAATCTTCAGGTACAACATCCTCCTATAAGCAACTTAAACTACTTCTAAACTATAAATTTTCATTACTTCAATAAACTTTTTTTGCAACAAATTATTCAGTCAATTAACCTTCTTATCCTTACTATTGTCATCGCTATTCACCTTGCATCTTGTCAATCTATCTGTCACCGTTTCATCTTTTATCTACCACCATTTTTATTTATTTCATTTAACTTAATCATCTATTACTACTTCATTTCATAACTTTGAACGACTGCTCCACCGGAACACTTCCAAATATGAGTTACCGGAAAAAGTATTTGCATTGAAGTAGGCAATTGTGTAAATAATTTCCCTACTCCGTACAAAACCAGAATCATAACTTTTTAGCAAAAATTATAATGGTTTGATTCCACCGTAAGAATATTTTGATAAATGAGGAGAATCACTTGACTAATTTTATCTTATTCAATTCAAATTTCATTCTAATCAAATCAAATTTCATGTTATATGCAGTGCTAAATGAATGATCGCTCCGAACAATCCCGAACTTAATCAAAAAAAAAAAAAAAAACATGAATGATAAGAAGGATTGAAAGAGCAGAAACAAACAAAAGAATGCAGAAATTGCAACTGCAGCAATTGATGGCAGTACGTTGTTGTTGCTGATAAGATAAGCTAAAATTTTTGTCATATTGATAGTTATAATTTTTGTGATACTACAAGATTTCTGTAAACTATATTGTTTCCATTTCATTTGAACAATGAAAAGTATTTTTGTTTTCGTTCCATTATTTTACTTCTCAAAAGAGAATTTGTTACTGAAGTTTATTTAAGTAATTCATTAGCATCTAAGTTGTTTCTTTTAGTTGTTGAATTTTATTTCTTTCTATGCTAATTTCAAAAATGATCAAAAAATTTAGAAGAGAAATGAATCATACTTTCAAACATTTAGGCTTCTAGAAATTTAGGCATCTAGAAGTCAAGCGAACAATATATCACATAAATATGAGATCATTTATTGACTATCTTTTTCCTAAATAATTTCTGCTCCCAAAATATTTATCTTAGCCAGCTAGTCTGATCTCATGAAATTTCACACGAAATTGCAATGAAGCAAAATAGTAACTCTTCAAATGTTGGCTGTGTTTTCATCAAAGATTTTGATTGGTAAAATTTCAAAATAACACTTTACACTTTGTAAAAAACTTAGTTTTACGAGTGGTAATTATACTTTACTGAAATAGCTTTTAGTTTCCACACTTGTTTAATGAAAATAACATTCATTGATTAGGATAACCTTTGTGTCGATAATAATAATGGCATCCTGAAATATCCAAAAAAAAAGAATCTAAAGAAAATTTGCAGATGCATAAAATATCCTTAATTGTTTTTGAAACCCAACAAAACAATTTCGAATTTAACAGGATGAATAAGTTTGACTTTGTTACATAAAACATTTGTTGTTAAATCTTGGTCTATACATTTTTCATTAGCTTGTTGACGATTATTTCAAAATTTACCAATTTCCCAGCAAAAAGTTGCTGCAATCCTCAAATCTGCTCTTGCACTAATAACTTTAATTTCTTTCAATTTCTGAATTGTTGAGCTAACAAATGGTGAAATAACACCCGGCAATTCAATTATGGGTCAGCAACAACAACAACTGAAACGAGTCCGGTCAATAAAATATGCAAGAAAAAACTGATCTGGCATAGAGTTCATTCACCAAAAGACGAGAAGTCCTCGAGGGATTTAAAAGAAGTGGAACAGCAGAGGAAATTCAGTTTTGATGTTAAGCAGTAAAAAGTGTTGGAGCAGAAGTATAATAATTTGACTAACATTTAATGGACTGTTGATAATTTAGTGCAACTAATATTTACATTGTTAATTCTTTGTTATTATTGTATAAATATGATATTGTACGATATCGTAAAAAATAAAAGAAAACATACAATAAAGAATAGAAATAAATAAAAACTTTCCCGACACACAGTTTCAAATAGCCACCTGATATTAGCAACAACTTTTAAGTAAAGCGAAGATAATCGTCTACCGTCGTCAAAAATTTGTCACATGCATCATGTTCCTCTTTAATAATTAACACGCAGCAGTTACCACTATCCACTCCTTATTGCTATAATGAACTTTTGAGCTCTCTCTTTCCTTCCTTTCGTAAACTCTTTCATAGTTGGGAGATTACGGTCATTTCGATAAACTATTCTTTTTACTGTTTGAGTACCCTATTATTACTCATCTATCTTTTCTCTTACTGCCAACAAATTTATTACCGTTTTTTTTTTCTCTTTTTCAAACTTAATGCGTATGCAACTGAAAAGTCTTCTGCTAATTAATTTTCATCATCAAAACTTACATTGGTTCTTATAAAATTTTTCACCTGTTCTTCTCCCAGCATCCAAAGGACTTTTTATAAGGCAACTTTGTCTTCCATTAGAATACATAAGTGTACAACTATTTTCAGCTACTTTGTTTGCATCTCTACTTTTGTAATCGGCTT